AGATTTGACCATATTTGGAGCGTTATCTCCATCGAAATAATCAATAGCTGTTTCAACTTGATTTTTAATAATACTTACTGTTACATTTGGAACATCATCACGTTCAATTGAACCCTTTGGTGAGACATCATCAACCGTCATTGATAATGATGAACCAACATTCATCATTTTACATTCAACATTCTTCTTTTCTCCATCAGAACTATCAGTTCCACTTGAAATTTCTTCTTTCTTTTTGACTTCCAAAGGCTTAGTGACTTTATTATCTTCAATTATATCTGGTTCAGCTGATGACTCTACAGAACTTTGATCAATAAATCGAGTAGCAGATTCAATTTTAGGCCTTTCAGTAACTTCTTTTGATTTTTGCCGCTTATTTAACTCATCTTGATTTTCTTCATAAGGTATTAAATCCGGACAAGTTGTTATATCTTGAAATTCATTTAACGGAGACTCGAGATATTGAGTAGAAGGTTCAGTCATTGATTGAGAGTCTGTAAATATCTCTGGAACTGTGCCGTCAGTACTATCAGATCGATGATTTGGAGATATATCAACTTGAGGAGGAGGTTTTGCTTCTTTTTTCTCACTAGAAGTGCTAGGAATTTTAGCTTTATCATCATTATCATCCACCGTTTGATCTTTACTAGATGGTGTATTATTAGCAAAACTTTTGTGAACAGTCGAGGCTGAAGTATCTAGAGATTGAGATTTTCGTTGGTTTATTAAAGATTGAGCAATATCTTCACGTTGGATAGTATCTGTTTCATTTCCTTCATGTGTTTCTGATTTAGCTTTAACAAATGGTAACACAAATTCATTTTCTTTCTTCGGAATAACAGAAGGTTTTGGTTTTAACGGTGGTTTATTTTCAACTTTATCAGCATTAATTTCTTTTTCATGCTTGTCTGATTCTGTCACTTCGATTATTTCAATATCTGTCTGCGTTTCTTCTTCATCTTTAACAACAGGAAGCTCATCAACTGGACTTCTAGCTGGAGATCTCGAAAGAGATCGTCTATTTGGTGATACTTTCCCATCAACTGATTTCATCCTACTGATTTGCTTCAGAGATACTTTTTCATTACCATCTTTATCTGTACTACCAAGACTTTTTGATATTCCCAGAGATTTAGGTCTTTGTTTATCACCTTTTAATGCACTTATTCCTTTGATCATATCATCATCAACTGAGGCAGACTTAGCTCTTGGTTTCTTTGGCTCTTCATCCTTAGAGGATGAAAACGATCGATCAGAAAGCCTTGTTACTGATTTTGATCTACCTTTCTGAACGATACTTATTTCTGGTTCAACATCAGTAGAATCAATGATAATTATTTCTTGAGGCATTTCTCCAAGTTTGAGTTTTGATTTATCAATTTTCGGTGCTGGAGATACTCGAGATTCTTTTGATGCTGTTTTCTTAAGTGGTGGTTTGTCACCTTCAAGTGACTTGGACTGTTTTTTAAAATCTTTCTTTGAATCAGATTTCGATTTTTTCATCTTCTTCGGTGAAAGATCTTGAACAAAATGTTTACTCTCCATTTCAGGAGACAAAAGAGTATCAATAGGAGCTTTTTCTTCAGCTAATGACAACGATTTAGATCTTAAGGGTTCTGCATGAGGTCTAAGCATAAACGGATTAAAATCTGGTACTTTTAAAGAATCTAATTCAAATGCTGGTTTGACTGGAACATCATCTAGTGGTAATTCAGCAACTGGATCAACAAAATCATCATAACCTGTGTCTATAATTTTCGGTCTTGATACTTTTGTGTGAGAATTTTTATTTATTTCAGAAAACCTTGATTCAATTTTATCTAATATTTTCTTAGTCTTCTCAGGAATGCTTGGTTTTTCTAAAGTTTTTGGCTTCTCTGCTGGCTTTGATTTATCCAACTTCTTTTGTGGAGATGTACCAGACTTTGGAGAAATTATAACTTCAGATTTAACGTCTTCACTTGTTATTTCTATCACTTCTTTCATTAGCTTTTCTTTTATTGGAGACTTGTCTTTTGTTGGTGATTTAGTAGGAGACTTTGGAACTCCTTTAGTTGGAATTTCAGGTAAAGGAATTTTTTCAATACTATCTTGCTTTTCAAGTGAATCATCGGGAACTTTTAATCGTTCTTGGTCCATACTAGAAACTACAATATCAGCAAAGTTTTTGATAGCCTTTGATGGTGATTTTTCAGAGCCTGAATCTTTAGGACTTGCAATTGGAGACTTTTTCTTATCAATCAATGACGTGGATTCGGTTGGCGATTTTTTCATCTTTTTATCAACAACTGATATGATTGTAATATTAGGATCAATTGGAGATAATTTATTATTTTTCTTGTCAAGACTTAAACATTTACTAATATTTATCACTTCAGTTCTAGCTTTATCTAACGATTTAGATCGTGTGGGGCTTTTTGACGGTGACTTTAATATACCTGATGGACTTTTTTCTGAAGAAATATGAATAATTTTGGGCTCTGTAGGCGAGAGTTTAGGGCTCAAGGATTTGGGTGATTTTGATTTATCAGGACTAACTAAAATACTTTTTGGTCGTTCATAAGTAAATTTGCTAAAAAGATTTGGTGCTGGTGGTAGTTTAGTTAAATCTAACAGAGAAATATCTGTAACTTGTTTGATAGGAATCTTACCAAGGTCTAAGGAAGATCTAATTGCCTTGACAGATTTTCCGCTATCTGATTCAGCTTTATCATCAGATGCTGTTCCATTCATCACATGTCTCTTATGTAATGTATATGGAATATCATTGTATGGTTTTTTACTTGAAGGTCTATCAGAAAACACATCTTCATCTCCAGAATCCGCTGGAGTTAAATCAATCGATTTTTGATGCATAAGCATATGTCGTTTACTATTGGATCCAATTCTTTGTCTTGAAGGATTTGGATCACTTTTAGTCCTTTCAACTGGCATATGTCCACCTAATCCTTCTTCAAAGCCTACAATGACTCCTCCAATAATTTTAGGATCATATTCAGCAAAAGCTGGTTTTTTCACACTCTCTCGTTCATTAGGAACACCTATCACAGTGTCTGTTCTCGATTCCATAAATACTTTAGCTTGTCTTTCACGTTCTCTTCGTTCTTCTTCTTTTCGAGCTTTCTCTAGACTCCTCCAGTCATCTCTTTCTTTTGGAATATCATCCTTTTTATCTTTTTTCCTTGTTGGTTCTTTATCATTTTGATCAACATATTCAAAACTTTTCCGTTCTTTCGAGTCCAATCTTTCTAAACTCCTTCGTTCTCGTGAATCAGCTTTACTAAAGCTTCTTCGATCACCTCTCCGCTCTGCTTTTTTATCATAATTCTTTTCAACAGAGTCATACCTTTCCATGTGATTTAACCTTTCAATAGTTCTAGGATCAAAATCGAAGGTGGATCTATCACGAGAATCCAAACGTTCAAAGCTTTTTCTTCGAGCATCTCTAGGACTGTAACGATCAAAGGGACTTTTATTGCCTGAATCAATCCTTTCCCAAGTATGACGTTCATATTCATAATTTCTTCCAGGACTTTTACGTCCTTTTGAATCAATACGTTCCATGCTTTTCCTCATCTCTCTAGAGTCTAGTCTTTCAACACTTTTAACTCGAGGTTCTCGATCTCTTTTTCCATTTCTTTCTCTTGAATCTAATCTTTCAATACTCGCTCTTCGTACTTCTCTATCATATCTTTCTCTTCCATGAGATTCACGAAAATCTAGCCTTTCCATACTTCTTCTTTCTCTTGAATCCATTCTTCCAATACATCTTCTATCACGTGAATCACTCTTTTCAAGTCGTCTCATTTCTCTGGAATTTTCTCGTTCAATTCTCTTTCGTTCTTCTCTTTCAAAACTTTTCTTCTCTTTGGCCAAAAGTTTTTCTAAACTTCTAGCATCTTCTCTCTTTTTATCCCGATTACGTCCAAGACTTCCAGTCTCAACATACGATTTAAGTTGATGGTCTTCCAAACTAACGATACTTCGTGCTCGAGTTGTTCTTTGACGTGCTTGATCTAAAATACTTTTATTAGCTTCAGGACTTAAATCATCATCAATACGTGATTTAGGTCTCATAATACCTTCATCACGTAACACTTCCGAATCAACATGAGTAATTTTATATTTAGGCTTTAAACTTTTTAATTCATTTAAAACAGTTAACTTTTGTTTCTGAACTTGAACTACAATTGGATCTTTACGCGAATCTTGATGTGGTAACGGGGGTTTACCTACCTGATCAATAGAAGCAGTACTACGTACTTCAAACTTTCTTTCAATTTGAGTACTCGTTCGTTGAATCCGAGATTCAGTTATTACAAGATTATTATTACCACTATCTACTTTAGGTGTAGTTGAGTGCCGATCGACCGCTTTACTCTTAACATTTTTAATATCAGCAAGAACTGATTTGTAATACTGTTTATCAGTGGATTTAATTGATCGATGTTTGACGAAGGAATCTGTTTCAGAATCCATTTGGAACATTTCATGTTCGATTCCTTCGTCACTCTGATCAGATAATGCTTCATCTGGAGGACTAGAATAAGACTCTGGGTACTCAAATTCATGTTCTCGCTCAAGAAGTTCATAAGAATCATGAGAAAGATCATCATGAGATAAATCAGCTCCCGGTCCGGACTCTTCATGGCCCGACTCGGTTGACAATGAAGAGGTACCTGGATAGGAGCTACTATAAACGCGTTCTGGTACTGAATCGTGATCTAACGAAGGTAACTTGGAGCTTGCAGCGCTATAAGAACGATTTGTTTCATCATAGCGTGTAACTGGAGCATCCAATTCACCTTGAGATGGAAGTTGAAAAGGGGCAAGATTGTCACTTTCCAACTTATCATCATTTGTTTGTCGTGCGCGTCCTGAGTCTTCGAAACTCGTAGCATAAAGTTCACGACAACTTGACGAACGCTGCCAGGGATGTCGGGGTTGGGGTCTTGGTGGAGGAAATTCAGGGGGACTGCTGTTAGAGGGGCTGATACGACCTGTTGATGATGTTATCCGTTGTTGCTGATGTAGTTGCTGCTGCTGTTGCTGCTGATGGACACCCATAGTACGTCCCTGGACTTGGTTGGGAGTAGCTGGGGTATGTACGTCGATAGAGGTGAGCGTCCGATAAGACGTAGCTGTGTCGTCTCGACGGTGACTCATCCCTCCCATCGAGACACTCGTCACAGTCGTCGGAGAATCCAGTGTCATCGAACCGCATGACAGAGACAGTGCTGGAGTTCCCAGTGCTATTGCAAAAAATTATCATCATTACATCATATCATCACACACTTAATTAAATAATAGCTTTTTCATTATCTTAAAGCAAATGTTTTATCAGCAGTCAGAAGCAAAACCATGACAGTTGTATTTAATCCTTTAAGTAACTGTGCATCTCTTCAAAAATTACTATTATTAATAATTGATTAATTTATTCAACCCTCAGAGCATACATCTTTGAACAAAACTTGGAAGCATACATTTCTTTTGAATTTAGGTTATATTTTTTGTAGCTAAAACGATGTTTTTTATTAAATACAATCATCATTGGTTATAAAAAAAAAAAATTTTGGGGTCTAGATGATCCCTTGTGTGCTTCGAGGGTTAATATTGATATAATAACCAAGAAATGTCTGATTAAACTTCAAATAAGTATAAAATTAAAGGATTAACAAACTGTCAAATACAATCACAAATTTGTCAAAATAATCGGTGCTCATTCTGCCGATTTATTTATTTATTTTCAATTTCTAAGTTAATGCAGCTTGAATTGACCATAAAAAGCACTTGAACGATCGCTTTGCAGCGATCAACTACTCTACAATAGGACAAGTTATTTACAGTACTGAAAAAAAAAAATTCAAAAAATAAAAAAGCGTTTTTTTTATTACTTTGGTAATTTAAGAAAAATATCTTTTATTGTGGTGGTGTTCGGTCATGGTACATACCAGGGTCGCCGAGGGGCAGGAGGGGATGGGCAGAGATGCTGGAACTGCCCATAAGCGAGCTGCTTGGGGTGGCACGATAACCTCCCCCCTCCGAGCCCTGCAATGCCCTACCACCGCTAGTCTGCCGGAACGAATTGGACCTGCGAGCAAGAGAGAGTCAAGTTCAGCATCAGACCTATGCCACGCCAGGATGATAAGCTTTTTTTTTGCTATAATTATTATTTGTATCCACTGTGTTTTCATTTCATCTCTCCAGACCTCAGGCGTTCAGGAATTTTCATTTGTTTCAATTCGGTCATTTTTTTTTTGCTCTGCTTTCAAGAACTACAAATTTCTTAGAGCTTTGCCACTGAATAATTAGCAGCAAGTTAATAAAAACTCGAGCTTTCAACAGAAAAATCATGTCATTCAGAAAACTTTTTAATTATTCTGAATACGTGCTTCTTTCAAACTATTTATTATTATGATTGGCAATCAAATTAAAGAGTTATCTCATTCTTGTCATTTAAATGAATTATTGCAGTAATTAAAAAAAAAACAAACGAGAAAAAAAATAAATATTTAAAATATGATAAAATAAATTTGATGAATTAATGTATTAAAAGAGTAATCTTTCATTAGCTTTTGATGCTTTCAACTAAGAAAAAATTTTAATTATATTATTATTTCTTACGATTATTTATAATTAATATGTTATAATACAGTAAAACCTGAATAAATGAAAAATCTTTATTTTTAAAGATAAAAAAGCGACTAGCATTTAATTTAATCGATACTCCATAATTAATTTGTTTAAGAAGACATGGTCAATAACAATTAATAAATATATTGGACTGAAAACTAATAAAAATATGATTAGATATATATCTTTTATTTTTTTTTGAGGAAATATTAAACAAATTAAGGCTGGGCTTTACTAACCTCAAATCATCTTAAATTTTTTTTTTCAAAGTGTGCTTCTTTTCATCGGTTATTTTCATGTAAAAAATATTTATAAATATTCAGAAGAGTTGTATACAGATAGGAGGACAAAGATTGATAGCCTAAGTGCAAATAATAATCGTAGAATAAATAAGTTTTCAGCAAAGGACTCATGACAAGTGCGTCCGCCATGACACCTCGGGATTGACTAAAAAATTACTTATTCTCCGATTATTAATGCACTTATACTATTAATCTTTGTCCTCCTATCTGTATACTACTCTTTTAAATATTCATAAATATTTTTTACATGAAAATAACCAATGAAAAAAAAACACTCTTCGAGAAAAAAATTTGAGGTGATTCGAGGTTAGAAAAGCCCAGTCTGAATAATTAAGAAAGTGAATGATATATAACGCGATAAATATGTCTATCAATTAATTAGCATAAATGTTGATAAATCCTTACTAATTAACGTTATTTACAAGAGCTAACTATGAATACGGGTGTGATGTATGTGAGGTATTTGATATATCTAATTGTGACTACGTTATTAACGGTTTTCATCGATAAATTAAAAATACCAAATGTGTCAAATAAATAATAAAACGTTATGGTAATATTAAATGGATCCAGTTAAGAGGTTCATTGATAAATAGTGATAATTATTATATTAAACAGTTAATGTATAATAATAATTTAAAAAAAAAATAGTAATAAGTATTAGCAACGAAAGATAATTAATTAGATGAACCAATGATATAAAAATTGATGGATAGACGACAGATATATTTATTGAGAGAGAAAAGGGATAACACATCGATCATTCAGGTATTTCGTGCCTGATGGTGAGCCTGACTCCCCGCCACCTTTGTCCGAGCAGGCAACACTTTGGTATTTAATTTTTTTATGATTTAAATTTACTAATCAATGAATGTGCGTGAACGTGAAATGATTGGTTAAAGTGACATTTTGAGGATAAAAAATCTTATTTTATTATTGACTATGATTTTCTTTTGCTATGGTGCTAATTGAAAATTAAAGTGCATAAATATCAATATTTAAATTATTGCAAACAATATTTTTATTTATTTATTTTCTTATTACTTTGAGAAAAAAAATTACGAGAAAATAAAAAAATTTTTTCTTGAAGATTTTAAATACTCTACTGTTGAAGTTAAGTATGAATTTAAAGTAGATATATTATTTATTCATCTTATGACCAAGAATGATCCATTGTTCGAAAAATAAATCTTAAATTAATTGATTTATAACAACTCCACGTTGTGAATAGAAACAAGGCTTTTTTTTTTATAACAAAAAAAATTATGAATTTAAAAATCTATTTAATTCAATACAAAAATGCTTAAATTTCCTAAAACTGACTTATTTAATTAAAAATTAATTTTATAAGAATAAAAATAAAATAGCTCATTATATTTTTTTTACTATTTACTAAAAAAAACAATACTGCTTTCATAGCAAAAAATTCCTAATTCAAAACATAATACTTAACTCAAATTATTTTTCTATTTTAATAGCAGCAAAATATATGATACTCAATATTTTTTATCAACGCACGTATATTTATTTCAATCGATAAATCAAATAAATATGTTGCTATCAGAAAAAGAGAATAACTCATTCGATCTGAGCAATATTTATTTGGTTAACGTAATTTCTTTTCTCAACGTAGCAAGAATAATTATTTAACAAGAATCATATAATATTTGTCATTTCTTTTTCTCAACAAATATATATCTTTCATCATTCAGCTTCTATCCTCATCACATCATTATTTCTATGCTTTACATTGCTTTAATAAAAGACTTTCTATTTACTAAAATTTTGTATTCAAACAAATTAAAAACATAATTATTTACTCAAAACTCGAGTTTATTTTAAACTAACCTAGGATCATTATAAATTTAATTAAAAAGATTTTGAATGACTGCTCTATTGTTTGAATTATGTTTAAATCTTAGAAGATAATGAATTTCAATAAAATTGAATTATTTGTTTGCAATAATTGTATAATCTGATGATTTAAAAAATTAGATCATATGAAAAACAGAAAATTTATACCGAAATATTCTTCAGTCCGGCGAAAAGCGAGACCGTGCCACCTCCATCATTTTAAAACAAACACTGTGACAATTATTTGGTGCGTACATTAATGAAAATCATCAACTTTTCAAACCAACATCTGGGGTCCAGGTTCAGACGCAATTTACACATGCACTATCTACAGTAATACTTCGGGGTTTCTTTGTTTTATATAAAATTGTAATCAAAGTTAAAAAAAAGAGAATTTTTTAGCATTCGTTTATTTCTTGAACACTCACCTTTGAAATGTTTGACGTTTTACGTAATTCTCACGCACGAATTCGACGATTTGTTTTTGTGTTTTTCCGCTATACCTGTTACATAGAATAAATTAAATTAGAATATGCATGAAAACTTTTTTTGTAAGCTTCTACATTATGTAAAAATTAATTCAAGAGACGCTTTGCTAAAAGCTTTTGGTTAAAGTCATCCTATTACTATTGTTAAATTGAAATATTATAATATTTATTCAATATAAATCATTTTTAACTCTATTAATTAATTAATTAAAAATACTATCAAGTGTGAAAAATTAATTAAACATTTGCTCCAGATTTTAAATGAATAATAAATGGACAAAAAAATATATATATTGCAAATTTGAGTGTTTAAAAATACAAGACATAAAGTGTTTTAAGTGGTTTTTGATGTTAAACTTCAATGAATAAATTACAGAATTAAATACACTCTGGAATGTTTAAAAAGTAACTACAAAATACTGTTAACCTTGAGTGTACTTTATGTGTTTTATTTTAATGTAAAATTCTTTTACTTCTTTTTGTTTAAAGTAGTTGAATATAATTTAGTAGGACGACTACCTTCACAAAATATAAAAAAAAACTGTAAATATGAGTATAGATTTACCTAAAGGAAGATCCACGACTGAGCACTCTGGTTTTCTGACGTAAAACCCGTTTGACAACAGAACATCGAAAAAAACCATGATTTTCTACGCACTTTTTCCAAAAGTTCTTGCATTCATTCCGACCGTCAAAGAAAAATTCAACAGTGTCTTTGTAATAACCATAGCCTTCAGGGTGTAGTTTTATTAAAAATCGTTTTCTCTTAAAGCTTATTTTTCGTATTTTCGCCCAACTGAAGGTATTAATTTTTGTAAAGCCTTGAAAAACTACAATGCCCATGTGAGCCACTGCTAAATTTAGTGGAACGCCTTCATGATCCTACATTAATCATAAAATTATAAATAATAATAAAACTGCAATAAATATATCTATTGTATTTTTATTGATTCAATGATTACCTTCGCTTGATGCATCTTCATCCCATACAATTCGCAACGTCGTGCAGTTTCTAAAAGATTTAGATCCGCTTCTGCTGGTGATTGTCCCCTAAAAAACAGAAAAAAAATTTAAATAAACTTAACTATAACATTTACAATTAATTTAATTAATTTAGAAGAATTTATCTTAGATTATTAGTTTTCAATAACAAATGAATCTATATATATAACTAATCATTCGCTTTTCTACATTAATATTAATCATAAATAATATTCATAATGAAAAGCAATGAATTAATGATCATATTCTCATTAAAGATTAATTCATGAATAAACAATACTATTTACAAATTCTTACGCATGTCTTTTATGATTTTCCATAATCCTTCGTTCAAGCTCATGATCCTGATGTGGTACAAACTTATATGTTGACAGATACGTATGATCTGGGTAATCTTCAATGACGTAATCACCGCATTCAGCTGAAAGGAAGAGAACAATAAAACAATAAGCTATGACGATTCAATTTCTCTACGAGTCTACTTAGTGATTTAAATTAACTCCTCATAATAATCAACTAGGAAGATAGATTTAAATACGTATAACTTACCTTGTACTATATAACTAGCCATTAATGCCGCTGTATTGTCATTACATTGCAATAGACCATGAGCTAAGTCTCGCTTAATTTGTAAACAAAACAAGTATCGGGTGAATTCTTCTTCCAGCTGACCGGGATCCGGTGTGTAAAATTTTACACAGAACCTTAGAAGTGGGTCTACCAAAGACAATCCTACTTGCCGACACACTGGTTTCTCCAAGTCCAACCAGTACTGCAAATTAAAAATATTTATCATTTAATTAATTGTTTATTCAAAATTTTAGTTAAATAATTTTTTATTTAACTTTTATTATTTATTTTTATTTAATATTTGATTTAAATAAACCAATTGTTTTTCAAAGCACTATTATTTGATATTTTAATTAATTTAATTAGCTAGAAGCTAATGATATAAAATTAAAAAAAGGTTTTTTGCTCGAAACTGAATACTCGTAGTAAGCACGATACAACTTGATATCTCTAGCATGGCTTCATTATTTGAAAGATACCTAATAATAAATATTATTTAAATAATACTATAAATATTTCTAATAATAAATATTATTTAAACAAGAGAATGTAATAAATTCATAATGCATTCAAATTTAAGTTAAAAGTGTAATTAAAATTTTAAAAGCATTTATATTAATTTTAATTAATAATAATAATAAATTAGATGTTGATAATGAAAAAATATTTCAACTCAGATCTCTGCCATGCGTACTTTGAGAAAGGAATTTCCTTGAAGATACAAAAATAAATATTGATTGATCATGATTAGTGATTACCTCAAAAAAAGCTTGATAACAATGGCTTAACGATTTATTCGCTATTAAAGATTTCTATAGATGATTAATTTTCTATTTATAATGTTGTAAAAATAAATATTCAACTCTCAAAGCCCACTCAAGTAGAAAATTTTTATTCATTAAAAAAAGAAAAAAAAACATAGTCACCTTAGTTCCATTTGGCTCTTGATATTCCAATCCAAAGTAATCAGCTTCCAAGAGATTCAACTGTTTGCAAACTTGGTCAAATAAAAGTCTACCTAAAGCTTTTGCCTGAAAAAATATAAAAATTTAGTTGATAAATGTTAATCCTGAAGATAAAATTTTTAAATATTTCTAGATGATTTATTGTTCACAAAGAACATTTATCTTAATTCTAATTTTGTTTTATGTACACAACAGTAAATATAGTGACTTCAAAAAATCAATAGGTCAGGTTAGTATTTTTCTCCTTCATTTGCAGTTCCATACACTGAGATACCTCAGTACATAATCTGTCCTAATAGCTCATTGTTGCGGAAATAATAATTTTATTAAAAAAAAATCCTACACATACTAGAATAAATAAATTACCTAAATAGAAATTTGTTTACTTAAAAATTAATTATTATTAATAAAACATTTTAAAAAATACGTCTCCCTTCTTGAAATCAGTTTTTTGTTAGTCTACCAACAATTACGACATTATCCAAGTCGATAGTTTACACGTGAATGAGCTATTCAAGAATGATCGAAGAGTACTTGTAAGTCAGGCCTATTAACCTCAATCGTCAATGGGTTTTTGAATAGTCCCGTAGACTGCTACTACACACCTAGACCACATTAAATAGAATCTTACTCAATTTTATGCTATTTATTAATCAAGAATATTCAAGCAATACATTTAGACACTTCCTGTATGCATGATGTAACGGACTTGAATTTTTAAATAGATTGATATTCTAATTAGCTAATAATTCTTTTATAATTTGAATCATTTACTCCAAAAATGAACAGCAAGAATTAAATGTAATTGCTAAAATTCCAGATGTAATATTGAAATAAATTAAAGCAATGTTCTTAAATGGAAAGGAGTTCATTAGCTGATACTATTTGAAGACATCAACCAACGTTGAGTAACATACTGGCCAGTGTATTATTTTTTATTTAGAAAAACAGCCTAAATCATAAACATTTAATGTAATTAATGATTGATTATGATAAATAAGAATAAGTAAATGATAGAAAGTAATACTAAACTCACCTGGACTTGAAACATGGTAATTTTGTCATCAAGCATTTGAACTTTAACAGCAAGCATTTTACCAGCTTTTCTAGGTGTGATTGGTGGTGTACGGCTGCCACCGTCAACACCCGCTGGAGTTGAGTGACTATGAGGCATTTTGGAACCAATCATGCCTAGATTGTCAATATCATTCATCATATCTCATCTGCGTCGTCCTTGTTTTCACCTCCCGTGGATTTCGTTCAATGAAGATTCATTGAGCTCTTGCTTATCGTTAGGTTTTCATCTGAATCAATTATTTTGATATGTGTCAGAAGTTAAACATTTAAACTATTTCTATCAATTTCTTTATTATGATATTATTTTAAAATAAATATTTAAAAGTTTAATTCTTATTAAAATGATTTATCATGTGTGTGTTTGATTAAGAAATAAAAATAAGAATTACAAAAATTGTTTGAGTATGACACAACAAAAGTTTTTTGGGTCATATTTTCTATTTAAGGAGTTAGAAAAAAATTCATTTATTCATCAATTATATTAAATTATTAAAAATTGTGTAATTATTATTATTATTATTATTATTATTATTAATTTTTGTTTATATAAATTCCACGTTTTGGTGCTACAAACACTTAGTAACGCATCCAAAGAGTTTTATTTTCAATTAAATACTTTAATTTAAAATAAATAATTTTTTAAATATAATAAATGATATTGTTAATGGAATATTAAATATTTATGTATGATTAGAGGTTAAAATAGGAATTTTAAAGTAAAATATGATATGAAAAACGACTGTTCAAAGTAAATATGACACTAGTGTTGGTTACAACTCAGATGAAACTGATAAGTAAGGGCAAATACAATCTATTGAAACAAGTTTATAACGAAAAAAGTCAAAAATATATACATTTTCTCACTTGAAAAAAGAGGGAAACACACTCACGACTACATAAGCAATTTTCTGACGTCGATATACGCATCGTATGTCCTCTTAGTAATTTAGCACGTCATCATGTAAGAAAAATGTAAGCAGTAAATGATAAAATAAAAGCCAAGTTTCACTTCAATCGTTATACATTCAACGATACACAAAACGAGTCATAGGATGAAGAAAAACTCGTTCATGAGGTAGAGTGCAAGTTTAACACTGAAGGAGCACGCCCCAAAACACGAAGACCGGAGCCAGAGTTCATTGATCACTCGTCCTGCTACCCGGCATTACTTGGATAATATTTCCAATTTTATCAACTTTTTACAAGTAATTACACTTAAAAACTTACATTTAGGTTATTAAAAAAGCTCCAAAAGGGGCTTTTTCACTATTTTTGGACGATATTGCACAGTCAGACGTCAGGAAAACCGTGATGCCAAACCAAACTAAACACCCACAGAACCCTGAACACTCCACCACCTCTTACTTGCTCGTTCCATCTCTTTCTAACCTCGTTTGTATGTGTAGTGGCAACGCAGTGGTGCTCAACGCCATCTTTTTTTATTAAAAGCAAGTTTCATTTTTCTCTGACTCAACGATGCTTTATTAGGTATTAATTTTTTTTACGATCTCCGTAATTATTATCATTAATTTATATTAAAAATATATTAATATAAAAATCGTTACTTGAATATAATGTTTACAATACACTGTAATAAATCAATTGATTTATGGTCAAAATATTTTTGTCTAAAAAATCAATTTTAGTCAATATTTTAGGTTAATTTTCTTAACAGTTTGTATATTATATTTTTTGAAACTTTTTATTAAAAAAAATATTTCTAAAGTTATAAAGGATGTTAAAATAATATTATTTAACTTAGAAGTAGCAAAAATAATAATTTAAAATTTAATTATCATTCATTGATTCCTCATAATGGGTAAAAAATTGTGTTTGACTCAAAATATTTACACCTCAGCAAGTAGGTATTGTATTATTTAATCACAGATGTGTGTGTGTGTGTGTTCAACTTCTGGTTGACGATTTAACACATCTGAACAGACATACGTATTATATATTTTATATAAGCGCAGACGCAAAATAGTGCAGTCTGTCTCAAGTCGCAAATACTGATGAGAATGGCGATGTAATAAGGTCTAGAAGTCTATCAGTTAGCTACATTAAAAATCTGCATCGTAAAATATGAAATTTTATACAAAATATTTTAATACAATAAAATAATTATTTATATACATTAGTAGAAATTTATTATGCGCAAGAAGCTACTCATTTTCTTGTTTTTTATTTTCAAACTTCAAAGGGTGTGGCTTTGACGAACTTCCTAGATTATTAATTAAACACACTTCCAACAGAATCATCCGAATAATAATAAGTCTACTTAGTTGAATATTATTTTAAAAAGTTAAACGAGCTAGTTAAACGAAGAATCTTCCTCAATCATCTAGTTGACATAAAAGAGCAAGGCCTCGTTTGATCCAATGACTCACTGGTAATTCTGTGTCAAGCAAAATCATTAAAACGTAATTAGTTGAATGTCCCGTTGTTTTCAGTGTACCAAATCGTGCTGATGTTATGTATAAAGGGCACTCATATCGTTTTCCTATCTTTATACATGAAATTTCGCTTGGCTTAAGCCAAACAATAGGCATCAAATCCCATAGCACTTTCGGTTGACTCTCAACGAGAACTGTTTTATCTATATCCCATCTACCGCCAGCTAAATACATTCCATAGACATAAACTCCATCGACAGGAGCCTCTGAGATTGTGTAAACAGACATCACCTAAAAATAATAATTATTTAATGTTCCCAAAAAATTTCTGATCAATACTAATTATACAGTTGAATGTAATTTAAAAATTATTGGAGTAAAGTACATACATTTTATATACAACTCTAATTATAAAATTTTTTCATATTTGAAATATTTATGTAATGAGTAAAACTTGTGTTAATTAAATTAATTAAGGAATAGAGAGAAATATTTGAAACATTTTATCAATACCTCAAAGTCTAAATCTACTTTGTCAATTGACATTTGATACTTTCGAGCAAAATTTTGTAAAACACTAGTCAGAAATCCATGGATAAATGAAAATCCTGATATCCAAAAACTTGAAGGCTTTCCATGGTCCAACCACTTTTTGAAAAAATTTAATCTCTCAATGAAATCATTTATAAAACCTGAAAGAGACTTTAAACTGGGATAAGTACTGGCTTGCATCCATCTTGAAGGAAGTTTAGCATTTAAAATTTGTTGAATGAAAGTCTATCAAAAAAAAATAAAAAATAATCTTAAAACTGATCTTTGTTAATGAATAGTAAAATATTAGATTATTTATGAAAATTTTTACCTCCATTTCAACAGTCATTACTATCATTCCCAGCACAGTTTTTTCCATTATCTCTAGTGACCTGCGTATTTCTCTATGGAGGATATTAAATCTTTCGATTTCCTGAACAAGAACTGTGTTCATTGATTCTTCATAAGAAACTGGATACATTTTTTTAGCCTCATCAAGATCAAAAAGTGGTGGAAGCTTATCATAAATATCATTCTTGAGTTTGATCAAAAATTCATCTTGTTCATAACTATCTCTAACTACAGTAGAACCTTGGATTTTCATCATCGAATCAAAAAAGGTTTTGGAAATCTCTAGATTACGACTAATCTCTGCATTGAAGTGAAGACCAAAAACTTCGGGTGATGGACTTGAAGGGAGAGCTTGAATTTTTTTTAAATAGCTTTGGTAATCATTTTTTTTCGGTAAACTATATTCAAGTCCATTTAAAAATGTGTAACTATTATCATTTATTATATCTTCATTATAGAAATCTTGTAAAATTGTCATTAAACATCGACGATCTCGGTCATCTGTTACTCTGCCTCCGTAATTACATTCTCCAGTTAAATAAGTAATTGCTTTGATAGGAATCTGCAATAAAAAGCAATAATGTTAGAAGAGTTATTTATCTACATCAAGCTGAACATTCTTCTGACGTATTTAAATCATTGCTTCGAACAATCATTAGCTAATAGTAGATCATAAAATTTATTTATAAACAGAACATGATCAATACTTTTAATTAATAACCAGCTTATTAACTTTCTATTAATATTAATAATTAAAAAAACATACCTCATCATAGTCGTTGATAAATATTTTCAGTTGACAAACAGATATCTGAAAATCAGATTCATTGAATTCATATTTAATATTCCATCCCTGGGCTCCATAATTCCTTCGTTCTTGTACCAAAGCATGAAAGAAACATAAGCCATATAGGAGTCTTGAAAACACTTTTTCTTTCCCAGGACAGCCTTCGTAAAATTCTGGATTATTTACTGGTTCTGAAGTATACGATCGTAATAAATTTTGCTGTAAACCCGTCGGTGGTTCATCAATTATTTTTACACTATTTTGAAGAATAGAAATTGGAAATTCTTCCGAAGGATAACTTGTCAACCATAGTCTAAAATCAGCATTTGTATTTGTTGTGTCCATTTTTTCACAAATTTTTTCTAAAGTGGGCAACCACGATACTCCAAGATGACAATTCTGAAGACAAACCCAAGAACCTGAACCTTTAGCCTCTTCTATCAATCTTTGTGCTTTGGGGCCTTGACCTTGACCTAAAGAAGTGGAGTCAAATTTGGAAGAAAAGTTCATAGTGGCAGCAAAGTTAGCTAAAGCCCTCATGGGATCAAACCCAGGACGGAGAATAAATATTAGAGGAGTTAAACAGTTTGAATCTAAGAAAGACTTTGATATGTCAAAAGTCGGTGGAGTGATAAATCTTTGTCCTAGTCCTTTCTCTATGAATTTCATGATCTCTTTAGTAATAATATCCGGCTTGACTGCTTTGATGATAAATAACTTCTGAAAATCTGACAATCTTTTATTCCAATATTCAGGAATAAACACATCTGTTAGAGAAGTTGAATCATAAAATTGTTTCCAAATATTTAAATTATTTTTAAAATCTTCACGAAATCCTGCAAATGAAGGAAGACTATCAAGACGACATATTTCCTCCCAATAGCGTGCCGGAAGCCAATCTTTAGCTGGATTTTCTTCAACTTTTCCTACTATTATCCCTTCAGATAAGAAAAATTTATATTCTTCTTTCTTTATTTCTTGGTTTACTGATAAAATAGTTGTGTACAACAAAAAAGAATATAACAACTTGTCTCTTTCAAATAGAGATCTGCTAACATTCTGATAGAGATTATAAGTAAAAGTATCTCTTAAGAATATCAATCTTTGCTTGAGAATTTTACTTTTATTAGCAGTCTCAATGGAAATAATATAAAGATTAATAAACCAAGTTAGAGAAAATTGGTACATTGGATTGATGTTTGGTAAATCAGTAAGAGTATAAAAAAGAAAAGAACTATAATTTGCAAAGGATTTATAATTACATCGGAAAACTTCAATCTTTCGTTCTGTTTCTTTGGTAGATTCTTGTTTTTTTAATATATTTACCGATAATATTTTCAATGAGTCTAAAATTTCTACAGCTTCTTCATCATCTAGAATCTTTGATCCACTTGTAGAGAGAGTTTTTAAAATATTATCTTCAATTTCCTGCAAAGTCTTTAGGTTCGTTGCTTTTTGAACAATCAATTGTTCTCGTTTTTCTTGAAGATCAGGCCTCTCTTTGGCTACAACAATTTCTAATAACTGATCTTCAAGACCTACAGTTGTTAGAGCAAAATTTATTAATGTCACTTTATTATAAACTTCCGGCAAGAAGTGTGGATTACGTAATTTAGTAGTCATATATAATCTAAATCTTGGATCATAAGATATTACTTTTTCTCCACAAGTAATGTAATATGCTTTATTAATAGTGTAGATATTCTTCATTAATATAGGATCTAATGAAGTATCCAACTCTTCAAGAATATTCTCAATTAAAACTGGTTTACCATATTCAATACACTGTTCAATTATTTTCATGTAATTATCATTTAATTTAACTACTTCAAGTTCACTTAATTTTTCCATGTTCCGAATCCACTTATTTGCTTGGCTTTGAGGATCGATACATAAACTCCATTTCTTTGAATTGCTCATAATAATTGCATTCTCTGTTGAAAACGAATCACGAGGCAAGCTAAAAATATTCCATGAGTTTATTTCAACATCAGAACCTAGGTTATTGATAAAATTATAACTGTCAGAGCAAGAAATATTTAAATTCTTGACGAAAGCAGTCCATTTATCGACACAATCTGATCGATAATTAGATGTAAAGGGTCCCAAGTACGCTATAATACCAGAAGAAATTAGAATATCTCCTGGTAAAGTATTATAAGAGATCTGAAGTCTTTCTGCCATCATTGTCCATCGATCTTTCTCATTACCCAACCCACTAATAAGTTTTTCAGCTCGAATTAATTGATTTTTACAATTGGACACTTGGTTTTCTAAGTCAGTTTTCTTCTCTAGAATTGTCTGGAGATTCGTCTTCAGTTCTGATAATTTTTCATTAAGTTCCAACAATGATTGTCGTTTCTCTTCAAGCACAGCTAAGATATTTGAATAATCTTTTTCTGCTATCTCCAGTTGAGCTTTTTTTGGTGCCACTTCTTTAGCAACTTTATCATAAAGTACTATAGCACGAACCCACTTGCATAAACCTTGAGCTGCTTGAGAAGCTTTTGCAACGACTGAAGGTGTAAAATTTGGATTGGATAAATAAGTTTTCTTGATTTCATGGATAATTTTTTCAGGTATATTGTCTTTATCATAATTCCGTAAATGTTCAAGGAATTTTATATCACTTAGGAGTTTTTTGCTTGGAGTCCAATAATCTAATGAAGTTTTCCCAGTTTCTGGGATGATTTTTCTATCAGGTGGAATTTGAAGCATTACACAGATTGCTGACATGACAAGTTTAACTCCAGCTGGTGGATTTTTCATGACTTTAATAAAAGATATATCACTTGGTTTAAGAATATTCAAAGCTTCTAGAGCTTCTTCAAGAACAGGAAGAGCTTCAGCAAGATCTGCTTCACATTCAGCTTTTAAAGCTTTAGCTATTTCTGCTTGATAGTTAGCAGAATCTTCATCCTTCTTCACCAAAGCCATCGTTTTTTCTACTGTTATATTTTCAGCTTCAATTATTTTCATCATTTCAGTTGTTTGTTTAGCAGATTCTTCAAGTCCAGGCTTTAATTTTTGAAGATCTTCTTTTATTTTTTCTATTTGTTTAGCAGCAAAAATTAATTTATTTACACCATTTAAATACCTATCCTTCAGGTGTATTATTTCATTCTGCTTTTCACTCATTAATTTTTCATAAACTCTAATTAAATCCAAGAAGGTTGTTGTTGTAACATATGTTTTCCTTCCAGAAGATCGATAAAAGTTATCACTAACATTTTTGGCACAACTATGAAAGTACTTGCAAGCCTGAACAACATTAATTTTATCGCTTTCTGTGATATTGATATTTGTGATAAATTTAACACAGACTTGTTCCAAAGCCTCCTCAGGCCAAACTTCAAACCAATCGATTGTACAACAGTTAACAATACTTGGAAATAATCTTATTCTAGCGTGTAATTTGTCTCCAATAGAACTGAAACACAGCATAAGGTGTAATTTTTCTTTACAACGATTAACAAAATATGATAAAATTGTCAGCACTGATAAATCTAAATTTCTATCATTATTTTGAGCTGCCAATCGACACATTTCTATTATTTCTTGCTTCTCTTCTGGATTAAATAAATTCGGAATTTCTCCTAAATTTAACAAGCTGTTAATATCACTTAGAAATACTTCATTTTTTATCTGCTCTTCAGTAAAAAGAAATACCACATCTTTTCCAGTACCACCAGACATTTTTAGAATTTTTTTAATGTCTTCTCTCCACTCATCTAGATCATATAAATTACCAATCTTAGATTGGAACAGTTGATAGCTTGTCATATGAGCTGCTAATCTTGTCAAGGATTGTCGTCCAGATCCTTTAAGCCCAATCATCAATAAACTTCCTCCAGGAATCGCTAGAACTCTACTTATTCTTGCTAAATGTTTCAAAGCAAATTTAAATGGAATTATTTCTAATTTAGTAGTATGACTTAAATTGTAATCTTCAATACATTGAAAAGCTATCTCTTCAAAATCTTTCATCACAGATACTTCTTCATATCTTCTGTCTATCACCGGTACATCAATGTTCATAAAGTTTCCAAAAATTAAATCTTCCAGACTCTCTTCTGTCAATTGACCCTCAAACTTTGGTAAGTTATTGAAAGCTGTATCAAACGATTCCTTCAACGAATGTTGAACAGCATGTTTTATTTGTAAAAAAAGCCAATGTCGATCTTTCTGATCAACTAAGCGATCACCAAATATTCTTAAAGTCTCATGAACCCACAGACGGGTAAAAGTAGTTTTTGATACTACAGACTCTTTTCTAATCATAATACAGCCAATAATAACTTTAGCAAAATCTCGTAAATTAATTAAATAATGAGACTTCATTGGAGTTGGTCTCAATTCATTACCTACTCTTTTAAAAACTTCTAAAGTTGCGTTTACAATTTCATCAATTACAGTGTTAATATCCGAGGCAAATCCATTACGTTTTAACCCAATTAGTGATAAATGAGTGAAAATTCGTAAAATACTTTTATCAGAAAAATGATTGATTGAAAATAAATTGAAATGCCTGAGAAATCTTTGATAAATTTCTTGCCTACTACCTCCTGGTGGTGCCATTGCACAAATAAATATCGTATCTAAAATATACATTTTTTCTACTTGTTTCAAGTCATACCAATGATTATGATCAAACACTTGTCTAAGTAATTCAATGGCTGGTTGAGCTCCATATGTTTCTTTAGCAGACATGTTAATGTCATCAATAAAAACAATACAACAAGATGTATCAATTGGACGATACATATTTTTTTTATGTCTAAATAATTTATTTATAACTAATTCTTGAGTCTCAGCTGCTGTTGTTTGTGGTGTAAAGGTGATCATATTTGGTAAATAGCTCTTCTGATCTAACTTATTCATTATAATGTTTTGAATATAAAAGCTCTTTCCTGTTCCTGTTTCTCCATAGAATAAAAATCTTCTTCCATGTTTGATATGCTTCAAAAAGAGGTATTGATATCTTAGAGTATCAACTGTTGGAACAACTATCTGATTAATACTAAGTTTTTCAAGAACTTTTTCATTCTTCAAGTTATCTTCAAACGTCTTCCATGCTCCTTTACCTTTAAAAGTATAATAATTATCATAAATCATGCCTTCTGATGGTAATGAAATCAAATCTTCTGCAACACTTGAAGGTACTGGATGTGTTTCAACTTGATTTTTCCAAAGACTAGCACAGAAATGATTAAAATGAACTCGAGAATCTGCATCCAAAGTACCTCCGATTCCCCAAACCACTGCCAACATCATTGCAGCTTGGATCCAAGAGCTGATATAGCTTTCAATATTTTTTTCCGCTCCATTTTCTTCCATTGCATCGTCGCAAAATATTTGGAATAAACTTAAAGTCGACATAAATTGATTTAACTGTCCAGAATAGAGAGAAATTCGACACTTTTTTAGAGTGAACTCCAAGCATATATCAATTAGCCATTCAAAAAGATCTTTTATTAAAGTCATGCTACCTTTAGCCCATTTTAAGTTTAATGTATTATACCAAGATTCTATAAAATATTTCCAATTAAACACCTGAGGCTCAATGTAAATCATACCACATCTGGAGACGGTAGCTGGTGATGCTTGAAGCAGATCCATTGTTTCGAATACCATTGACATAGTTCCTGTCATTTGTAGCACTTCTCCAGAAGTTAAACATAATTTCTTATTATCATCAAGGACTGTATTTAAGTTTTCTATCCATACTGCATCAACTGGTCCATCAAAAATGATCCATTTTCTGGACAAAGATTCATCAGAACTAAATTTTCGAAATATTTTTGAAATAACTCCGTCAGTCCATTCGCTAGAAATATGATCAAACTGTCCATAAAGCTGTCCTATAGAAATGGACTTTGGATTTATAGTCGTGTAAATTGTTGAAATATCATCGACATTTTTCCACTTGTCCACCAACGTCAATGCATCAGCTAGAGTATGTAAAACAGATGTTTTACCTCCAAAAGGACCACCAACTAGCATTAAGCCATATCGGACTATCATCATTTCATAAGTTTGAATTATTTTGAGTAGAAATCCGTCATATAATTGGAGATTTCGTTGATCAGCAATTGTTTGTAGAGCTTTTATTAACATTTCATAATCAGGAGATGGTAAATTTACTCCAGGAAATAAATCAGATATAATTCCTTGAAACAATGGAATGTCATGGGATAAAAATTTAGGCAGGTTTACGTCAACAATTGATCGAAGAATCAGAACTAATTCATCTTCATCAGGGAATTTTGATTTTAAATTTTGTGCTGTAGTTAAAACAGCTTTAACTGCTCTCATTCCATAATCATAGTGAGCTTGAGTAGAAAGTTGTTCTGAACACAGTTTGAATGTAGATACAATTTTTACAGCTAAAGTTCTTGCTTCGTAGAAACCGGAAGAGTAAAGAAAAATTTCAGCAATCATGGCATAGTCTGGTACCATCATGGCAACAGTTCTGAAAAGAACTTTAAGATTATCAGGAAGCTCAGAACGACCTGCATACCCAGGATTCATTGTGATACAAATGTAAACCGCAGGATTTAAAGTTAACTCAGTTCCTTCAAAGACAAATGTTGTTAGGTTCGCTCTGACAGCTTGAATAATACATAAAATCTGCTGTGCTACTACAGAAAGTACTTCTAATTCGATTCGATTAAATTCATCGAAACAGGCCCAAGCTCCACACGATGCTAGTCCTTTGAAAAATTTCCCCATGTTTTTGTAATCTAAACTTTCTGAGCAGTTGAAGACAACACATTGAACAGCTATTGCTCGTGCTAGGTCTTTCGTCGTTTCTGTTTTTCCCGTTCCTGCTGGACCTTCAGGAGCTCCATTCAAATGAAGAGAATAAGCTCCAATCAAAGTTCTGTAGCATCTGGAAATTTATAATATTTATTATTATGATGAAATCAATAAATCAACATTTTGTAAAATTATATTTGAATTTAGGTAATTCAATTTATTTACTTGTTTATGATATTAACCATGTAAATTTTTAAAATAAAAGTTTTCTAAAAAAGAGTTTTCATTATTTAAAAATATTGAAGCATTAATAAATTGATGCTATATATTAACTTCAGAACAAAATAAATGAATAAATTCCACGAATACTTTTAATTAATGTTCAATACAATAATAAACAATAGCTCCATAAATATTACACAAAATTCATTTTGCAAGAGTAATAATACAAATTATTTCATCTTTTGAAACAGACACATTTAAATTTAAATGAATGAATTAATATTAAACTAAAATTATATAAAAAATTATTTTGTAAAAAATTACCATTTAATAAAATACGTTTTCATATGATAAATTATTATTTAAAAAAAATTTGAATTGAACTTTCCTCAACGGTTTATTAAGTAAACAATTGTTTTAAAATATGCTTCTGATAAGATTATAATAACTAGTTGTTTAACACAAGCGTCTTCATTATTATCTCTCTAAATAATTGAGATTTATAACACGAGAATCCTAATAACAAGATTGTAATGATAATGTACAGCTATGCAGTGATAGGAAAATTATTCTAAAAGTTTTGAACTTTTATTTTTCATTACTCATCAATTTATAACTTCAATATTTTAATTTTCAATCAGATGGTAATTCAAAAATGAAAACTTTTTCTTTTTATATTCCCAACACTGCAAACAATGTGTTTAATTATAATTAATATTTACCGATCTGTAAGAGGAGTGATAACAAGTCTCGAACAATTTCCTAAATATTCATAGGCATAAGGTACGGTGGCATTAATAATTTTTATAAGTACATTGTCTTTCCAATAATAACGTAATTGTGCCAACCACTCGAAGTCTGTCTCACTTACAATTCCCTTCTCGATCAATAGCTTTACCACATCTTGAGCATGAACGTCTATTGTAATCAAAGCATTGAGAGTCGTGCGATTTTGTGCTTTTAACTGTCCTACAAAAGAGCATAATTTTTATATTACTCATTAACACCCACTAATAAATCTAAATAAATAAACATTTATTAAATTCATTTACCTCGAACTAAATTAATCATATCAACCATTTGGACCTTTAGATTCTCATAGAGTATCTGAAGAGGTGAAACCATATGAGTTGAAAAACAATTTTGAACAGCTGCAGTCCAGTAAATTTGTGAAACACAAAGTACCACTTGTCCTGGCCACATCAACACCCATCGAGCTCTTGTAGTACTTTCATAATCATAATAACTCATCATGATTTCATGTTTTATAGATTTTATCATCTGCTCTTCTACTTGGATTAGCCATCGTTCAACGCAACCTTTAGCATCTTTGGTACAAATAATTTTTTGAAAGTTTATTTCTTCTTTATCATCACTGATCATTGATAGAATTTCATCATTTTCATTGATACCAAGTCTTGCTATTCCTTCAAAGCATTTTTTCAAATGACGTTGTACCTTTGAAGGATCTTTTGTTTCCGACAGGATTTCAAGCATATCATCATTGCTAAGGAAAAAAAATCGTGGAAAAAACAATCGTTTCTTTTCTAAATAATTAATAACTCCATCGTTGACTTTTTCTAATAATTCATTAGCTCTTTTCATGACTCTGTAAAGCCTTTCAGATCCTGCAGAATTTTTAACTTGAGGATTGCGATCTACAGACTTCATGGCATCTCTGAAAATTTTATTAACTTGTTCAAACATCAGTCCTTCCTCTGGCAATTGACTAACGATATCCTTGCTAGAAAAAATTGGTAGCAGGTACATCCATTGCATCTGAACTTGTGTCCATTCGTTGATAGTCTTCTGAATCATCAAAAGAAGGTCATAGAAAATTTTAACGTCATTTTCAATAGGTTTAGAAAAAGCTGAACCTCTCATCATCTGGATTTTTACAATATGCTCTTCAAGAATTGTCTGAACGTCATCTACTTGAGTTAAAATAGTACCAACATCTTTGTAAGCAAGTGTACTAAATGTCATCACTTCCCACTCTTGGGTAATCTTAGTAAACAATTTTTGAAAAGATAATTCTCTTGATGCCCCAATACTTATCTCAATAAACTTATCTAAATCTTTGGTCAAATTTTGATTGATAATTTTTCGGAGAGTTGTACCAGCATCTGGAGTAACATCAACACCAACAATACTAGATATTTCATCCCAATGTCTCTGTTGGAGAGCAGGATTAAGAAAGCAAGTTGCTATTGGAAGATACTTTTGAAACCATTTAACATTGTCAAGTAATTGAGTACATAGTTTTACAGGAGTAGGCTGTTTAGAAGGGTCCGGATCATCAACAAATCCAGTAAAAATATTAGAATACTCATCAGCCATTTGATGTTTTAATTTAGCACGAAAAGATTTAGATATCTTACTAAATTCAGCGTAATATTCAGCTGTACGAGTTTCAATAATATTACCATCAAGGTACTCCATTGGACCATCTAACCAGGCTCCACTTTCTCGTTGCCATTTAAGAGCTAGATAAATTAATTGATAAAATGGCGTAATTAATTTATTTAACACTAGTATTCCAGGGTAGACGGTTTGAGGGAAACCAAAAAGACTTTCCTCACTATTTATCCACTTCACTTGTTCATCAAATTTCTCTAATGCAAGAGTAAATTTCCTCATGTCTTCAATGTACTCCCGAATTCGATCAGCATCATCCATATCATTCATTATTACTAATCGCGAAAATATTTCACTTATTTCAAAATTTAAATCATTAATCTTTCCTCGCAACTGCTCTTCAAGATCAAACTTTGTCTGTTCATATAAAGTATTACTTTGTTTAAGTATCTCTTTAATGTTTGATAACCAGCTTACAGTTTTTGTATTCAGTTTATAATCACTAGGATCAAAGTTCGTCATTTCCATTAGAGAAATCATGTTTGAAATTGAGGACTTAATTTTATTTATCACTTCTTCCATAAATGTTGTATTTATATAAATCATATACTGTCCTAATTCAAGAAGTTCTTTAGTAGTTTTGGGCATCGTTAAAGCTCGGTTTTGAATTATTTCAAACTCAAAACAAATTTGATGATTAAAATCCTGATGAATTTTTAATAATTGTCGAATAAGATTCTCTCGCATTCTTTTGACATGATTTTTTAAACCAATTTTAGTACCGCCTTGATAGATTTTTCCTATTTCTACATACTCATTTTCAGATAGCCCATCAATTTCACTGATAATCTTATTTAAATCTTGAATTCTCTTCAGATATTCTTCAAAAGTATGCTCTTTGCTAATGAACTGGTCAATTTCTGTGTAACTTTCTAAATTGTAAATAATTTCAAACTTATTTTGAAAATTTACAACACAATTATCTAGAGATTTCCAAAGCTTTTCTAAAATAAATGTCAATCGTTCATGTGATTCTTGCATAAACCAGTCAGGAACAGCAGCTGAAATAAGCTCATTATCTGATTTCATTGCCAACCATAATTCCAAACAATTTAAAGATGATCCAGCATGACTGATTCTATCCAATACCATATGAAATCGTTCATAAAATTCTTCTTTCAAAGGAATAATAACGATATTATTATTCTCATATTTTAATTGAAATTTTATACATGGTCTAGCCAGATCATCATCTAGAATATTTAACATATGATTGATGCTGTTTATAAGCATCTTGATTATTTGATAAGACATTAATTTCGAAGCAGCTTGAAGAAATTGAAGTAATAATTTTGGTGGAATATCATTGACGTATCTTTTAGTTGTAACTAAAGTAACAATGCTAGCATAATACGTATTCTTGATAATTAAAATTCCTTTATCAATGTCTTCATCAATGATGTTAAAAAATCTGCAAATTAAAAATCATTTGGAAGATTCTTAATAAAATCTTTTCCACGAGCCTTTTTTAGTTGATTGCTAAATGTATCTTATCAGCAAGTATTAAATAATATTTAAGTGTACTTGTTCGGTTCAAGGAATCCAAGTTGACGATAAGTTTCCAAATCACAAATGACATGAGGAAGTAATGATTGTGCTCGTAAAAAAATGTTTCGTATTAATTTATGAGAATAAAAGAATATCTTCTCTAAATTGTGGCGATTTTTTAAATATCGAGGCCGATAAATTGTCCTTCCTTCAAATCTAAAATAATGCTCGCGAAGAATTTCGTAATTAAAATCCAAAGGTACCACACAATTCACTCCAATTTCATGAATTCTATCATAATATAAACTCTCAATCTCTTTCAGATGTGATTCAAAAGATTCCCGGAATTTTTTTTGCAATTTTTGTGGTACAAGTTTCTTTATTTTATCCTTCCAATTCTAAAATAATATTCGAATGTTAATCTCAGGTATAATTACCTGATATAATTAGTTCGTAGATGATTGAAAAATAAACACCAAGTTCTTGTGTATTGGTTGACTGAAAGCATATATTTACTGGAAGAAGTCCAATAGTTGGCAGTTGATCAGCAAATTGTTTCATTTTTTCTAAGCAAAGTCTTGGTGAAATGCCTAAGTGACATTGATGTATAGTTCGATAGTCATTCATATTCTTCTGTATTTGATTTTTTGTCTTGACAGCAGTGATTTTCATTAATTCTTGCACTTCTTCAATCCGTAGCTTTATATTGACATGCAACAAATGAAAGAAATGTTGAAATAAATTAAAAAAAATCTTCATAACATTTTTTTTTCATTTATATTTTAAAATATCATATCATTGATAAAAAAATATCAAACCATTTAATTTCTTTTAAAATATACTTTTTATCATTAATTCTTTTTCAATCTTGAATCTTAAAATATTCAAAATGATTTCATTTATGAACTTATAACCTTTTGGCGCGCGACAGTTGCGATTACCTTATCAAGTTGGAATTTGCCCAGGCCTTTTTTTTCATTAATTTTCGTGTCAAATTCATTCAACGATAGTAATGCTCGCATTTTTGGCTGATAAACTTTCGCATTAGAAAGATTGTAAAAATTGGATGATTCTGACATTTTGATGTATCTAAATTCCTTTTTTTCTATTCAAATCAATAAATAACTAAATAACTAGATTTAACAAGAAATAGATTAGAATATAAACAAGTAAATTATTGGAATAAAAAGTAAGAACAATTATAAAGATATCGATAACGGCATCAATTATTGTTGAACTGAGAAACGAGTTCCTCAGTTGCTTCAATGTTTTTGGACTCCTCACCACTTATTTCTTACTCCTTCTACTGCGATTTTCGCTTTTGCACAAGCGTACAAAATCACATGAGGTATTCTCTTACAATACAAATCAACGAATCAAATGCGAGTTTACAAATGGAGTCACGCCATCTAAATTGTATACTACGTCGATTTGTTTTGTTTTTGTAATGCAACAGATTAATCAATTAATTGAGTTGAAAATCAAATAAATACATTTTTAAATTTAATTTTAATTATCAATGGAGATACCCAGGCATAAAGTTATTGATATTTCATGGAAATTCGGAGGTAAAATAAAAAAATAACCTTACTTTTATTATAAATAATTTATCATAGTTTAATAAATAATTAATTTGTGCATATAATAATCACTAACAATTGTACATCACAACTTAAATCAGTAAATAAACTAATACTCGATTGATTTTTATCAATATCAATTTGTAGGTTAATAAATTAGAACCTTTTTGTTTATTAATAGTTACAGCAGCCACTAGTGAATCTGATCGAACGGGAAAAACATTCCTTCAGTTAAAACTTCTTCTGGATGATAATGGAAATAAACGAGATATATTTACAGAAATGACACTCAGTCAATTTTACAAATTTTTACATGATTTAGAAAAAGCACAGACTAGTTTAAACTTTTTAACTTAACAAGATAAGAATTAATACAATGTTAATATAATTGAGTATATCATATTTTATATCTATTAATTGTAAAATTTTATTCTAAAAAAGTAGAAAAATTAATTCTTTATTATACAATATTATAAAAATAAAATAAAGCTCATCATATTACATATAATTATTATTCTTTAGTATTGAACAGCTGAAGTCTTTAAACCGTTGATCCTACAATCCTCAGATTTGTGACAGCTTTGATTCATGATTAATCATTATTCAGACTACTGAGTACATCTGAAAACAATGACATAATATTAGCCAATATATTGATTGTAAATTTAAAAAAAAAACTACAATCTTTCATTTTTAATATCTCTGTTCTATTGATGTACATCTATTATTAGAGTGTTATGTTTTCGTTTGTATGACAATTTGGATAGTATATGTCTCCAAGATCGGTTAGGCGACAGATAAATCGATAAATAATTGAAAACACAACATTCTTGTAGTTTGAATTACATATTAGGGTCATGTAAAAATTAAATAGATTACTTCTTTAGATTAAAGATTTGTAAATTGTACGACAACTGAACATTATTGCCGATTTATATTAAAAATACTTTAACCTAGTAATTTAATATAATTATTTATTAAGAAAACAATAATAAAATTATTTTAAAATGAAATCGATATTGAAAATTAGTCTTCTTAAAATAAATATTTATCAATAAAATTATCATGTAATTAAAGGCATATATATTTTTATTATTTAATAATAATCAATCATGAATTATCATCAAATTCATGTAACAAAAAAAGATACAAAAATTTCTGGACTAATTTTAGATAAAATTAATTTAGTATGCATATTACAAAAAAAAACAAAAAGTCATGCTCAGTTTGTTAAACTGTTTAATTAATATTATCATTTTATATATTATTTATTTTCAACAATGTATAATTAATTTTAAAAAAGAAACATTTTTCTACAAATATATTTTAACGACTCGTTCATAGCGTCGTACCTTTACAAAAATTGATACAAAACTACAAGCGTGGGTAATAAATAATATAAATGTACTCAATAATAATATCAAACATTAATTAAATATTTTTTTCTATAATAAGGCCAGTAGAGTAATTGTTAATCTGGTTATCACGAGTTGTAGATGATCAATTTTTTTAATTTTAAATGTACATTGAGTTAAATGACATTTCTGTGGACCCGTAACGAGAATTTTCGTGATACTTTATGTGTATTGAATGTATGAGATTAATCAGTAAATATTAAAAAATACGATTAGTTATCTCTCACAAGTTTAACATCATTAATTATTACAATTAAATGTATTAAAAGAAACAAAAAAAGGGGGGTATTAAAAATGATATATAATGATAATGTATTAGTACTAATGAAAAAGCTGAATTCTAAAATCAAGACAATTATTTGAAAAATTATTCTCATTCTCTCTTAGCAGTCTTATTAATCACAAATACCATTACAAAGTAATGTTGAGTATTGTCGTTTAATATTCGCGCATTTGAACGTAGAGATTCGAGCACACGCTTGCTTGAAATAAATTAGTCAAGTGTAGAGTTGGATACTTGAGTGCTCTAAAAGTCCTACGTCTCAGATGAGGACTAGAAGTTGCCCCCCTCTGATTATTCGGTTCAGCAAGGGCTAAAGCCGGATTTTTCATAGTTTCATAAGACGATGAAGAAGAACCTTGCTGTCTGTTTACATCAGGCTCTGCCAAAGACTTGCCTAGATCCGCTTTGTTACGAATAGCCTCTAGAACTGGTAAAATTGCACCAAGAAGTGGTCGCTTTGATGGCTCCCCTGCCCAACATTGCTCCATGAGTTGCCAACATTCATCATCAAAACTTGGCAGACGTTCTGGACGAAGGCCTAGAATTTCCCAATAATAAAAATATGAATAAAAATTTTGATCGCATAAAATATTGACTCATGCTTATATAAATGGTATGGGTAGCTATTGGTCAAATGAATTAGTTAAATATTTATTTATAATTAATAAAATAAATTTACAAACCTTTTCTAACATTAGTCCATAATTGTTCTTTATTATGAAATTGTTCGAAAGCATTAGGCATCTTGGTGTGTCCAGCACAAATATACCAAAATAAGATGCCAAAAGCATAAACATCAACACTACTATCATAATGACCAGAAAGAAGTTCTGGCGCCATATGAACTGGAGTTCCAACAACGCTACCAGACATCATAGCTTCAGTAATACAAAATCCAAGATCTGTTAATTTAGCACGATTTTCAGTATCTAATAAAACATTTTTTAATTTAATATCACGATGAAGTAATCCTTGCGAGTGTAAATATCGAATTCCTTCAAGTACATCTATAGCTATTTGAATTCTCACAATCCAAGATAGTCCTGCTCGTAGTCCACAATATAAATCACGACTAAGACGATCTGTTATTAATAATACAGCTGCTCCAGCACCATGAACACCACCGTAAGTATCATCAATTATAGAGCCACGGAGTTTAACTATTCTCTTGTGATCGGGAATGGATCTTGTATAATAAAATTCCATAGCTAAATCATTCCAATGCCTTTCATCTGGAGGTATAACTGACTTAACTGCACATGGACCTGGAGCACCTCCCCAACCATCACATGCAAAAACTACTCCATACTGTCCTCTTCCTATTTCTTTGCCTTGATGAGGAATACCAAAGCGAACTTTATCACTCATTGACGTTGACTCTAATGATAATTTAGCTAATTTAGGAGCATGAATTTTTCTAATCGCTACTTTTTGTTCTTCAGTTCTTTCTAATTTCCCAGAATAATGATTCTCCAATGACCTCAGAGCTGCATGAAACACATCATGGGATGACTTTATCTTATCTCGAAATTGCATAGAAATTGTTTTGGCTAATCTTACAGGACAGAGAGAATTTAATACATCTAAAACCACTTTTTTCTTCCAAGTAGCATCTAAAGTTGGCGTTGATGACCAGGGAAGAGGTAATGATTTAAACAGTTGTCTCAGTCGTTCCAAAAATGAATGTATCAATGATGGAGATGAATTGTGAAGTTCGACATTATAAGCAGCAGTTAAAATTTGTTTCAATGCATCACTTGCTAAAAGATTCGAGTCATGATCGTAACTTTTTTCTAATTCTAATAAACAACGTTGTAAAGTACCGACAAATGTTTCTCGCAAACAATTGACAGATGTAACTAATTGTCGTGCCACTTTTTCACTTAGTTTCCTCAATACCTGTCTTTGAACTTCAACATTAAATGTATAATTTTGATCTTGATTCTCATCTGCTGTTAAAGACCAATTATCTTTCATTTCTTGAATTATTTTTCGTATTAATTCAGTCAATTCATCTTGGTTTTGATTGACAATATTCATTAAACTCGTGTACAACTCACTTTCTTTTTGCTGTGCATACTGAATTCTCTTTGGTGTTATCTGTATTTCTCTCGCCATATCGTAAGCACTCAAAATAAACTTTCGAAGTGCATTTGTCTGAACTCCATTGAGATAATTACTTGCATTAACGAGATAAGTCTGGAGACAACTGCGAGTAAATTGCAAAATTCGATCCATTCTTTCACAAGATTCAATAAAATCATTTGAATTAATATATTTTCCACCGTTCAACCAAGGCATTTGATCATCATCCGATTCATCTATTTGTAAAAAACCAAGACTCCCTAATTGATCGAACCAAGTTAAACCTAGAGAATTCATTTTTTCGAGATTCAAACCTTCATCTTCTTTTTCTTCCAATTCTAAAACATGATTTTTTTCTTTCTCAACCTGACTTTGCAATCGATGTTGCTCTGATTCTGTCAAATCTTCATCAATATTATCAAATATAATCTTTGCCAAAGAAGAAACGAATAGTACAGGATGGTATGGATAGGTTTCTTTAAGTTCTCTCAGTTCTTTAGTATTTTCTTCATTTAAAGGATAATCACTCAATGCATATAAAAAAATTGGAAGAATTCCTAAAACTCCTTTTGCAAGAGTTCGAATTGCTGCTATGTCAGGTACCACAAAAATTTGTACTCCTTCTTTCAACATCGGTCGATCAAGTTTAACATCTAGAATTGTAGGACAATTGGGATCTTCATTAGTAGGTCGAATTAAATCTTCCATCGAAAGTGTCTCCCATGTTTTTTCATTTATTTGAATTGTTTCCACAACTTCGTATTCCAATCCTAAAGTCACACTCACATTATTAGTATGACTGTAACTAAATTTAATCCATCGCCAATTACCATCTGCTAGTGGCATTACATCTAGGCCTAAACAACGATTGACTAATGTTGCTTTTGACTTACAGTCTTGGCCTGATATTACAATCGCTGGGTGATTGTCCAGAATGTAAGTAAGACGATCCAGGGTCAAGGAGGGTAGTAATTCATCCATAATATTTTCTAAAATATTTAAAATATATTTTTAATTAAATCTTTTAATTTAGACTTCAACATGTAGATTAAATCATTTGAAAAGTTTATATTATTTAAAATAAAATTTATAAATAAATAAAATAAATAATTTTTTTAGATACTGATGTAGTTAAAATTTTGAGCAATGTTTCTCATATTTAGGATGATGTAATCATAATAAAGTAGGATGATGAAATATATTGAAAAAAAATGAATCAAAATTATTTTAATTAATAGAATACCATCTGGAAAGAAGTTTTCATGATTGATAATTTCCAATGTACTTTGAGTTTCTTGGAAAATATTTCGCAGACGATTGCGGTTTCGTTGATATCTTCGGAATTCTTGTGGCAATTTGCTTACCATTTTATGAGATTCGATATTATTTAGCTCAACAAAGTTTGTTACTCATCACCTAAGTAGATAAAGGTGATTTTATTAATCCAATAATCTTCATTAGGAATGTTAATATTCTAATGACGTAAGAATTGAGTAAAAACATGAAAAGATCTACATAGAAAATAATGTGTCGCACAATCGATGAAGATCTTGATAATAAAAATATAATACAACTTACTTGATGTAGAATCATCGAGTTTCCGGGTAATAGATTAAAATTTACTGCGAATTTCAGTAATTTTAATAATCTTTTCCCAGTTAAAAATAATACTCCAAAACACTGTACTTTAATGGTGATACTAAATTATTTTATCAATTAAATCATGAATAGTCATGCCTAGTTTATTTAAGACACTTCAGACAACCTTAAGTTTTATTAAATTAATTTTAATTATAATTAATAAACTTTTATAATCAATTGTCAATGTTCAACTCAAAGGAAAAGAATATTTCCATAATAATGACACATAATGAAATAATAGTTTATTTAAGTTTCAAATATTAATTATTCAATTTATTTTCCATGTATTGCATGCTTCTATAAATTTCACGTTTTTCTTCTTCTTCTTGTTGAATAGCTTGAAATGTAAATGATAAACTGGAGAAATTATGCAAAATCAGAAAATATAACCTCTAAAACTCCAATAATTTGCAAATAAACCGCAACGAGGCAGCACTTATTGACATCGCGGGGTGGAAATTTAGACTTTGGAAACAGGAAAATTTTTATTCATTAATTAATAATTAATTTGTATGATAATTTTTTTTTTAATCACAATCTGGTTGTTAAACAATACATTTAAATTATTTTTTAGAAAAATGATTATTATTATAACTTTATAAAGACTTTTATCTGAAAATAATTACACTTAAAATATAATTAATCATCAATTAACACCATTTTATTGAATTTTTTATACAATAGATGATATTTATTTAAATTATTTACTAATTAATAAATTTTGTTTTTAATAAACGTTTTTATGGTTTCACACAAGTACGAGTATTTATTAGAATTGTATGGAATAAAACAAACTGATTAAAACAAAGGATGAAAATTACAAAAGAAAAAGATTATTTGTTTTCATCGTAGATAAACAAAAAAAAAAACAACAAATTCAAACAGTAGTTTTTGGCCTATAGCGCTCTCTAGACGCCAAATAATCAACGTTCCATAAAAAAGTAAGGTTATTATTACACTAGCCAGTGACGTACATATGTATCAAACGTTGAGTCTAGTTTTCGCGCTCCATATTCTGGGCAGTCACAATTGTTTTTAAACCCTTATCGATCATCCCCTTTTGATTATGACGAGCGATGGTGGGGACAGCAAAACGTGAACCAATTTGTAGTGAATTTATTTGATAGAGTTAACTTATTTTTTGACATTAATATTATGATCATGTTAATTATGATACAAAAGTGATTACGTTTATTTCATTTCTAATATTAATAAACGTTTTTTTTCTCCTAAAACATTGAATATTTTGAACATTTATTACAAATTACTAAGATCAAGAGGTTAAAATAGTGATGAGGATGGTGATGAGACCTCCACGAAGAAAACGCGATTGTCAGCTGGCATTTAGCGGCTTTGTGTGATTTAGTCTTCTCAAACCGCTGTTCAAGCTCATGCTGTTTATTGGTTATTTTTGACAATTAAAGAGTAAAAAAAAATTATGTTTATTATTAAACTCTGAATCATTTAGACATTTTTCTATGTTGATTTACTAAACTTGATATCATTTTTTTTTCTGCAGGCGAGTGTGAAATGGGGAGCTCTTGGTGGCAATGTACTGCATGTCTAAGAGCACAAGAAGAAGATATTTGTGAGCTTCAGCTTAATCATTGCAATTTATATGATGTACCACCAGATGTGTTCATTTATGAGAGAACTCTGGAAAAACTTTATCTTGACGCCAATAGAGTATGATTTAACACACTTTTTATGTATTTATTTTTTTCTTTTTTTTTACATTATTTTCTTGTTTATTAATATTTTCGGTACTGTTTGCAGATAAAGGATTTACCAAGGCCTTTATTTCAATGTCATGAGTTAAGAGTTTTATCATTAAATGACAATGAAATTACAACATTACCACCCGCCATAGCTTCTCTCATTAATCTTGAGTATTTAGATCTTAGTAAAAATAGTAAGTAAAATAATATTAACAGTTATCATAACAATAGTTTGAATGGAAAGTTAAAAATTGAAAAATGATTTTGTATTTTTAGGTATAAAAGATCTTCCAGACAACATAAAAGAATGTAAAAACCTTCGTTCAATAGATTTGAGTGTGAATCCATTCGAGCGTTTTCCAGAGGCAATCACTCATATAACAGGATTGCGAGAATTATACATAAATGATGCTTTTATTGAATATTTGCCAGCGAATTTTGGTCGATTATCGGCTCTAAAAACTCTTGAATTAAGAGAGAATAATATGATGACGTTACCTAAAAGCATGAGTCGATTAGTAAATTTGCAGAGACTTGATATTGGTAATAATGATTTTACTGAATTACCAGAAGTCGTTGGAGATTTAACTAATTTAACTGAATTGTGGATTGATGGCAATGATATACGTCGGATTCCAGCAAATATTGAACAACTGTATCGCCTTAATCATTTTGATTGTACTATGAACGCCGTACACACAATTCCACCAGAAATTCAAGGCTGGCGAGACATATCAATAATTAATTTTTCTTCTAATGAAATTCTTGAATTACCTGATACACTTTGTTATCTTCGTACAATAGTTACTTTAAAAATTGATGACAATCAATTGAATTTTCTTCCTGATGATATTGGACAAATGTCGAATTTAGAAGAACTTATTGTGACGAAAAATTTTTTGGAATATTTGCCATCATCTATTGGATTATTAAGGAAATTACATTGTTTAAATGCTGACAATAATTATTTATGTTCTCTTCCACCAGAAATTGGTAGTTGCAGTGCACTATCTTTATTATCATTAAGATCAAATAATTTAACTAGTGTTCCTCCAGAACTTGGTCACCTGTCATCATTAAGAGTGTTAAATCTTGTTAATAATTGTATACAGTTTCTCCCAGTCTCAATGCTTAATTTAACAAACCTCAAAGCTTTGTGGCTGAGTGACAATCAAAGTCAACCTCTTGTGCCTCTTCAACAGGAGTTCAATAGGGACGAAGATATGATGGTTCTCAGTTGTTTCATGTTACCTCAAAAACAGCGAAAGGAACTTGAACGTAAGTTATTAGCTTATTTTTGTTACAATTCTATTTTTATCAACCTATTTTATATAATCATTTTAATTATTTAATAATTTTACATTTATTTAAATAATTAATTTTAAAATTTCTACACTTTATATTTTTCCTCTGACCTCATTTACAATAAAGAAGAAACTGTTTTAAAAGCTAAAGTTCTAAGAGACATCAATTTCAAAGCTTAAAATATCCATTATCGATTTATCATTTGAGAGTATTTTTTTACAGAATTACTATTACGTTAAAATAATCAAACTATTTTATGTTGATTTCTATACAATATGATTTAAAAAAAAAAAATTAAAAAACAAAAAGAATCATGTACTTTTTAAAATAAAAATTAAATTTTTCTTATTATGCTGCTAGTTGATAGTGTGGTGGAGGATGAGGAATGAAAGGGTAAAGTAATAATAAATTTTCAAAGTCATTATTTAATTTTAATGTTCATTTTATGACTTTATTTAATAGAAATGGAGCAAGCAGTGGGACCAATTTCTGGTTCAATTGTTGGAACTGGAAAGAAAATATGTTTTGCAGCAGAAGTAGAAACTGAGGTCCCTAGACAACTTCATCGAGCACCTACTCCCTATCCTAAAGAGCTTCGTAATCTTGCTAGACATGCCCGAAATCTCCATCATCAATCTATTCATGATCAAAGGGTATTTATTTAGATATATTAAATTGGATCTTAGTATTCTATTAATAGAACAATATACATTCATCAATTAAATAAAAATTTTATTCATTTTAGATTCATTTGGAACGAGAGAGTATAATCAAAGAAGCAGTAGTCGCAAAAGCAACATCACTGTTGAGCAGTCCTGTTAGTGGAGCACATCAAAATCATAACCATCAGGTAATGAAGAATATCACATTATAAAATCAGTTATCTTGATACAAAGCTTGTTATCTTGTTTAATTTTCTAATAATTTTATTTTAATACTATTAGTTCCAACATGATGCTCTTTCATTCATGCTCAAATATTAATAATTAAACTTCTTTGAAATTTCGTTCTAGGCTGTATATGGACATCTTGAAGCAGACGTTCCGAATCACCAAGTTGATAATAGTAGACCAGATCATTCAAATGAAATAGATCATCCAGTGTTAGCTCAAGAGAAATTTCCAGAAATTCGAGAAGCCAAGTGTGTGAAAAATCCAACTACCGAGTGTCTGTCACGTCCACCAACCATAGCAGATTATGTCAGTTCTACTTGGAAGCCTGAAGAATATTCAAGAGCAAATACAGCAAAGATAGTCGAGTCTGAGAAGCTAGCAGAAGCGTATAAATTTCCTAATAATATTAACGGGATCGAATCGGGAGAAAGAATGAATGAAGTTCCTTTGTCACCACCGCCCTATCATATTGCTGCTGCTTTTTCCAAAAAAGCTGCTCTATTTCAACAAATAAATAAATCAAATAATGAAGATTCATCGTTGTATCATACGGACAATCATTTATCTAATTCTCTCCATGAGAACCAGACAAGGTTAAATAATAATGGCAATGATGTTGATGAGAATGCTTCAGATGTTTCAAAAACTACTATTAATGATGACAACAAAAGTTTTGTATTCAGAGAAGAGAAACCAAGTAAAATTCCAATTATGAAAACAAAAAATTTCGAAAGAATTGATAATGATTCGATTTCATTGACTGGAAGAAATTTTTATTCAACTCAAGATGATATTGGAAAGTATTCAGAGAAGAATTCGAATGATATAAATATTCCAACATCTCCAATAACAGGAAAAAAGTATAGAAGTCCTTTGTCAACTGCTTATAATCTTATACATATTGATAATATGCAAAAAATGAATGGAAACGTAAGAGATCAAGCACAAAATATTTCAAATATGTCTTCACCTGATAATTCATTAGAAATTCAAAGTGATAAAAATTCAGGACACGTTTCGCCGGTTTCTTTAAACATTAATTCTTCTTTGAATTCCAGTATGTCAGATACTCCTAAATCAAAACTAAAACTTAAGTGGATGTTTGGACCTCATAAAAATGTTAATGTTGTAAGTTGAGATACCATAAATATAATGATCTATTTTTTATTCAAAATTATTGGTGATGTAATATTCTTTGAATATTTCAGATTTCAATTCAAATAAAAAAAAATCCAGGACTTGGTTTCAGTATTGCTGGTGGGGTAGGTGGAAATCAAACGGTTAGTATTTTGAATTAATACAGAATAAGAAGTACAATTGTTAGCTACATCACGATTAATGATTACCTAACTTTTATTAAATAAATATAATACATTTTGTTATTATATCCCTTTATAAATGTTTAGCTGATATAATTTAGCTTTAATGAAAGAATAAAAATACAATATTTATTATATTTATTTAAAAAAAGTGTTAAAGTAGTGGAATATAGTTAACAAATAATTTAACGACCTCTGTGTAATTATTTATTATTTTTTAGGGAATTATTGTAACAAAAGTAAATCCAGATGGACCAGCTCAAGGAACTCTTCGTCCTGGTGATAAAATTTTAGAAGTTGATGGAATTGATTTTTCGCAATCAAATCATGACAGTGCAGTAGCGGTATTAAGAGCTACAGGAGACACAGTATCGATGATGATAAGTCGGCATCAGTGAGTTGAATAAAATAATAACAATAATCTTAAACTGGATTATCAATGCATTAGTCTTATCAGATTTTAGACTCACTTTAGATCATCTCTTCTCAATGCTGTCATTATCTTCAAATATTTAGACTGATATACTTGTAGTATTTTTCTTCCTGAAAAATATTCATGATAATTTATTAAGTAGGATTCAATTATTTTCATATAAAAAAAAACCTTTGAACAATACTCTGCCAATTTTTAAGTCTATGGAAGTATTTAATTTTTTGTACGAAAGAATAATCTTTGTTTTTCGGTATTGATAGAAACTATTTAAGCTGATGCACCAATTTAGTAAAATTATTTATGTCTTTTATATTGCATTATTAGGTTTAATATTCCTATTTATTTGTTTTTTTTTGGATGGAATATTAACAAATTTATAGAAATTACTGATCAAAAAGATCTATATTATTAATAAGTAATGTTGAACAAATATTTTCAAGGAAAATATATCTTCAATGTTGCATGACAGAATATAGTGCATAGATATTAAACTATATAATAGTAAAGATATTTTCAAAATATTTTGTCGATTTTGTTGTTCAAACGTAGGATTAAATTTTTTTCGAAATAATGATATAAATAAGGAGTATTGATAATTTGGAAGAATAGGTAAATATTCATAAGAATTCAATGTAGAACCTGATCTTGAGCTTAGATTATGAAAACAATTGTTTTCTAATATTGCGTGAATACTTTTTTATTTATATCATTTTTTTCAGGATAATAAATACTATATTTAAAATAATTATTAAAAAAAATATATATTCGTTGCCATATTCTTGAAAATTAAAATTAATGTGATCTATTTGGGATAATATTAATTTGAAATATAATTTTTTTTCGGTCCAGCTACTAATTCAAAACACAAAAGTACCTTCTTACATTAAAGAAATTCTTCGAGAAGATTTTCTCATCTTTTTGAAAATTTTTGTGTGAATTTTGTACATGAAATAAAATATGAAAATAAATAAGTCGATGGTGATAAGAAAAAAAAGCAATGGGTATGTGCACATATCATTAAATCATGCACACACGCACATTTCTATTTTCTCAATAACTAAATAATAATAATACTAATCATCATTATCATATTATCATCAAATATTGATAAAATACATTGATAATAATTGATTACTGAAAATTATTTAATACTTATTTCTTCTTTAATCAATAATGGAAGTGATTCAACAAGAAATAAAGAAGAAAAATTATTAAAATAAATAAGTAATGTTAAATAAAAAATAATTGATGTATACTACCAGTACAATTGATGAAAAATTGAATTATAGGGAATGGAGAAATTGTTTGAAATATATATACAGATGAAAATTTATATGATCTAATGATTTAAAAAATAATTCGGGTGTTAGAGTTTAATTAATATATTAACAAAATAATATTCTTCTATGTGCCGTACTTTATTAAATTATAATGTTATTATAAATGTAATGTTACATAAATGTAATGCACTATTAAGGCTAACTATAAAATTGACATTTAATCAACAATTAAACTATTTTTACGACGCACAATGCGATCATTCATATATTCAGGAAATAATACATTATGCAACATTATGCGAAAAGTCTACTTTTCCGCTTGAAATGTGGATTAAAGTGTTTTACATTTACTTTCAAGCTGTGAATACAATTTTTTGTCATATTGTCACGAGAAATTCGAATTAGCACAAATGAAGACAGAAAAGTACGATTTTCTGTACGGGTAAAATTTAAGTTTACGTGAAAGTATGATAAAAAAAATAGTATTTTGGCTTTGTTAAAACAGTTAGATTATCTCAAACCATATATTTACCATCCTCATATAATTAGATGGCAATCTGGTGGCTTGTCAGTTTGCTTTTTCTCCCTAGGGCTGAAATGAATCATTTTCTTCTCTGAGGGGTTAAATAATCGCAACTCAAAGTTCACTTGCGCACAAAGTTTAAAGTTAGATACAAGCTCAAAATTCGTTACTTTTCTAACCTCTGAACCGTGAGCAAAATCGAATTTTCCTTAACGATGTGGAAAACAGTACATTATATATTATGTATGGTTTGAGATGGTCTTTTTTACTTCTCTTGGTGTATAACACATGTATTTTAATTTTGACATATAATTTGGAAGATCACTTCCATTATCTTTAATCATACAAAAATGATTCATAAGGTTGATAAAAAATTTATTTCTTAAAAAAAGATTTTTGTCATAACAAAAAAGTTTGGAGTAAATATCACAGCAAATATATACAATAAAATCATCTTTGATAAACTATATTAAATATAAATATTTCGAACAATATTCGAAACTTGTACCTAAAATAAATATAATCAAAGTTACACTTTTTTTTGAAATCGTGACTGAAATTTATAAGACTACAATTTCAGATAAAAATCTTTTTAAAATTCAAAAAAAAATGAAATAAGTATTTATATCTATCTAAACTATAACAAACTTTCCAGTGATAACAGTAGTCATAAGTAGACAATACTTTGATCAACAATAAATATTTAATTTAAGTTAACTAATAATTTCAGGAATAATTAAAATGTTAATAGATGATTTTATTAACTTATGATAATATCCATTATTTTTTCATGATCTATAAATGTATTCGAGTAATTATTTTATGTAGATAAATTTATGATCTGAAAAATCAAAACTCATAAAATGTATTGTCATTTACGGTTTATTTATAAATTAAAGAAAAAAAAAATTCACATCATTGTTGTGTATTGTTCGACAGCAATAAATAATTAATAAGAAAACAGAGCTGCCATAGCAAATATTGGATCATTAGTTTTTCTCACATTTTCTCTTAATCTCTCTCTAAATGTAAAATGACTTAAAGAATGCATTTTAATGTTTAATAGTTAGTAATAGAGACTAGTCATTTAAATGTCGAAGTCTGATCGCTAATGCATATTTATTAAAACATTATTACGTATAACATATATAATCAATTATCATTTAGAGGTCTGTGAAATTCTTGATATGTGGTTATAGTCTTGTTGAGATGTTAATTAATGGTAGCTGTTAGTTATTATGATCACAATGTGTATGATAACATAAATAACATTAAAAAATAAGAATAATAATCATCAAATTAATGGTAAATTTACACAATTAAAAATAATTATATTTAATATTAATGATTATTAATAATAATGATATTTGAATTTTTTGAATAAAAACATTTTCATGAGGAACAATTATGACTAAAAATTTCTGTAAATATGATGACACATGAGAAGTTATTTCTCTCGGTATTTCATTTACTTTATACTTAATAGACTGACTATGTTTTTTTGGATGATTTGTATCTAGATAGTTGAATCATGTTGGTATTTGAATACAGAAAATGTCAAATTCGATGGTCTGAATTAGATAAATGTAAATAAAGGATGAAAAAACAAATATATTATTAAACTAAATATTGTTCAAGTTTTTCTTATTATTTCATGTACTTGAAAAAAGATATATATTCCTTTAAAATTGTATTTAAATCCTTCACAGTATCTTATATATCACGAAAAAAATTTTGTTATTATTTTATTTATTCATTTAATTTATTCTTTTATCGTTTTATTTATTTATTTAATTGAATTAAAAAAAAAAAATCAAAAAGTAAATTTCCCATACCGGGAATCGAACCCGGGCCTTCTGGGTGAAAGCCAGATATCCTAGCCACTAGACCATATGGGATTTTAAAAATGATTGACATAAATTTGCTCTTGAATGCAACACGTTGCTTAAACATATGCGACACCAAGTGGCGGTTGATGGAAGTTATGCTCTGACAATGTGCCTCACACACACACACACACACACACATTAGTAATACATATTACTAATGAATAAATAAATTTTCAACATTACTCCACTAATTAATAAATTGCACATTTTTAGAAAAAAAAATAATTCTTCTTTGTCATTAATTCCTTTATTGAGATTAAATTTTTTAATGCACTTATGATGTACATGAATTAATTATAAAAATGATGTATATGTTGATATCAATCATACTCTTTTATATTTTTAATTAAAATAAAAAAGAAGAAAAACAATTTATTAACTGTCTTCGCAATAATGAAGGCGTTCAAGTATTGTGGATTTCTATTATTATTATTTATTCTTGTGAATTTTGTAATTTCTTCAACTAAACTAATTATATCAAACTCGAAAAAAAGAGAAAATTCTATAATTTTTAATGAAATGTTGGTAAGTTAGAAACATCTCCTTTAATTGATAATATCGATAATATTAATAAATATTTGTATTCCATTATTTATTTGAAGGTAACGATACTAGAGAAATGTAACTTAGGATTGCGGAATATTCTTATTCTTGATTATTCTCCTATAAATTTATATGTTAAAAGTATATTAACTTTACAACTTCCTATGACAGTTTCTATAATTGAAAAATTAAGATTTATGAAGTTATTTAATCAAACATTAAATCAGAATGAAATACAAGGAGTACTATTTATCCTTAATCTACATCCTGCAGAAACTAGAAGAGTGATAGAGCATATAACCAACAAGTTTCCAATTGCTAAGAATTGTACGATGATCATAATGTCGCATAGTTACCAACGATGCGTTGAAGTTGAACAGATGTTTCGAAGTTTAAAAATATTGTATATTTTCAACGCATATTATATTTGTTTATTGAATAATGAACCAGTTATTTTCACTCATAATGTATATGGAGAATCTCCACCATCATTGTGGAAAATAGTTGATCATAAACTTCTTGGTGGTAATTGGTGGACACTTTACCGCAGGAATTTTAGAAAAGGTATTTTCTTCATTACATTCAAGAAATAAATTTAAATTCATTTTGACTAGAATATATTGTATGCCCATGATTGGATGATAATTTGAATTTTATAACTAATAAGAAAAAAATTACTCACTTTTTTGATATATTTCAATTATTGGCTTCGTGTGTTCATGTAAATTCATAGATTTGTTTTTTCATTTTAATTTAGGCAACATATGTCAAGGATTTCTTTTTGATCGTTTCAACATGAAGAATAATGCAAAATCAGCTAACATAATTCTTGGACTCACAATTCGTGATAAATCAACATTTCAAAAATCACAATATAGAGATACATATTCGGAACACATAATCAAAAAGAAAGATTCTAAAAAAACACACTTATACTATGAAGACATTTCAGCAGCAACAAAACTTCTCAATATGAATGTTAAATATTATCATTCAATAGATAATCCTGTTTATTTCTATCGTAATACATCAGTCGATGTAATTTTTGCAACATGTTTCATATCACATTTAAGACCTTTCTGGCTACCGTTTCATCCAGTTAGTCACGAAGAATTTGTGATGCTATCTCACAATCGAGGTTTGTGTACACCGTTGGAAAAAATAGCTGATTTTTACGGACTGTACACAATTATTTCTTTAATTGTGGTCTTGATAAATACTTTTTTTGTCATATGGTATAAAATGAACAAAAATGTTTCACTTGCTGCCTTCGATTTACTTCGATTGTTGATCAATGATGGAGTACTTGTACCAATTAATACTTTTCCTCTTAGAATATTTTTTAGCATGATTTTTCTATATTTTCTGGTAATTCATTCGACGTTTAGTGGCCATTTAGCTGAATTCTTAACTAAATCTAAACTTCGTAAAAATATTGATTCTGTTGAAAATGCTTTATTTGACTCACGGATTAAACAGATATACAATTTTGGATTCCATTATTCCGATAGTAATAATCAAGGTATATTTAATCGTAAATCAATTCGCACGTTTTCTATAGTTGATTGTATTCGCAATGTCGAGAACGATCCGAGTTCAGTATGTATTGGTTTTGCATCTAATTTTCAACTCTTTTTAACAAGGCAAGGTAAAAAAGATGATAATGTAAGTGATGAGAACCTAAGTTTGGAAAATAAGAATATTGATAAGTATTATATAGGTAATAAACACCTTGGGTCAATGCCAATGTCATTATTATATCGTCCACGATTTCCTTTTACAGAGAAATTTAATTTTATACTAATGTATTTAGTGGAAACAAGAATTATTGGAATTACAAAAAATAAAAGAAGAAGTAAGAAAATATTAGCGTTACACAAAAGAATGATATTTTTTCAAAGTAATTTTCGAAAAATTAATTTAAATGATCTCCAATTTGCTTTTATAATATTAATTATTGGCATAAACCTTGGATTGTTGAGTTTTCTCCTTGAATTGTTTATAAATTATTATTATCAGTATTGTTGCAAGATAAAAAATAGATGTGTAACAAGAATTACAATTAAGGATTGTACAAAAAAAATGTATAGAAAGCGAAAATTCACTAAAATTACCATGTCGGTGAAGTAAAAAAATTAAACTGTGATGAATTTTTGTTTTTTAATCTTTCTGAAATTATGCTGAATAAAAATAATTAAATCATTAAACACGAAAAGAATTTGTATTTAAAGATAGAGAAAGTAATTTTAAGAAATTTTTATACCAAAGCCTGAAGAACTGGATGCAGCTGATGAAGAAGGACTCACTCCTTTTTATCACATTATTTGACACCAATATATATTTCAGTGAATTCCCCAGATCGTGCAGATTTGAAATGGCAGAACTCGATAAAAATAATAATAAAATTGTAAATTTTTTGTTACAAAAGTTTTTACGTAAAATAGTCTTTTATAATAATTTGAAGAAAGGTACATGGTATCAATCAAAGAAGAAGATGAATAGGATTTTCTATATAATGTTTCCAAGTATTGGAGAACCTTGCAACAGTTGCTCCATCAACTACTCTATGATCGGCTGCCCAACTCACGTTGACTACACTAGCACCAACTATCTCTCCCTTACCATCAAATCGTGGTAATTTTTGAATCTTTCCAATAGCTCCAATTAAAATTTGTGGTGAAAGAATGACTGGTTTTGCATACGTTCCTCCAATCTGAATATTCCAATATTAATTCATTTAATACATAAACAAAAAGAACCAATGAGTGTATACAATCATCATTATGAAAAATTAAATTATCTTCCATTATTAAAATAGAAATATTACAACTTACAGATCCAATATTTGAAAGTGCAATGGTCCCTTCAGCGAGATCTGATGGTGCAAATGATGGTTTTTCCCCCAACTTTTGTAGTCTGTGAAGTTCCTTCGCAATTTCAGTGATACTTAAATTTTGAATATTTTTAATATTAGGTACAATCAGACCTTGAGGAGTATCCATAGCTAAACTTATATTATGACTCTTGATGATCTTTAAAGTTTGAGACTCTTCATCAAGCAATGCATTCAATCTAGGATATTTTTCTAAAGCTTTTGAAGTAGCTTTGATGAAAAATGGCAAGAAAGAAAGTGGTATTCCAGAGTGTGTTAAAAATTCTTTGCCTTTACTTCTAAATTCAATGAGTTTTGTTACATCACACTCATCACTGTAAACGAAATGTGGTATGCGCTGTAAAAAAATAATCAATTATAAAATTATCCACCAAAGTTTCTACTTGATCATACTCACCAGGGATTGCGTCATTGTCTTCCACATATGTTTTTGGTATCCTTGCAGAGGAATAATTTCTTCTTGACTACTTGTAGATTTTGTAACATCATATGGCTTAGAGTCAGTCCTAATGTTGCCTACATCTGGTTTGTCTTTATTCAAAAAATTTAGAACATCTTCTTTTAGAATTCTTCCATCTTTTCCAGTTGATGGAACAGTAGTGAGATCGATGTTATTTTCCATAGCTAACCTTCTGACTGCTGGAGTGGTAAGTACTTTAGACCGTTTATTTTCTGATGACTGATGAAAGCTTGTTGAAACTTTCCTTGCTGTTTCTTCATCTCCATCAACTGCTTCTGAGTTAGCTGTGGTTGTAGAGTCCTCATCTTGTAATTCAATGTCTAATAAAGGTTTCCCCACCAAAGCAGTATCATCAATTTGATAATACAAATTTTTTATATGCCCATCATATCGACTTGTGATTGTAACAGATGCTTTGTCACTTTGGACTTCACAAATATTGTCAAATTGTGCAACTTTATCACCTGGCTTGACAAACCTAGTGGAAATACATTAATCTATCAGACCATGACGTTGAAATTTTTTCCTACTAAATCTTATTAAATCAATTCATTCTATTAGGTTTAATTAGATTGTATTAGTTTCAATTGAAATGATCAACCAGGGTAGAAGAATAAGAAATTCGGTTCAGTTGTCACACTTCCAATGACATGGACCTTGATGAGTGTTGCTCTTGAGGTAAATCTAAGTAAGAATATGTATAGTGATCCATGGTCCAGCTATAAGAGCTGTATCATACCTGATCATTTGTATATATTACTCAATCAACACTGGTATCCAACGTTATTTAGGACGAATCCTTTTTTCTTAAGCATATGGACCTTGTTAAGCATTAATGTGTCCAGTGCCTCCAAGTCAATTTCGAAAAAATGATCAATTAAATATTTTCAATGTTTATAGATCTTTAATTCAATTTCTAATTTATGGTGCTTAACACAGGAATGATCAACAAGGTCTATATATTAAAAAAAAAATGTTCCTTACCATTCTTTAACAGTGACTTCTTTTATACCTTCGCCAATATCTGATAAATTAAAAGGAACTACCTTCCCACGTTGTTTAGAACTCATTGAAAACAATCTAGTATTTTTGCCCTGACATTAAAAATAGATTTTATATCAGTTTCTTTTAGAATCATTAATAAAACATAAACAAATATTATTATCTTAATAATCTGATAAGATTGTTTACCAATAATGTTATGAATCTCGTTGCTATTGTCATTTTTGTCAGTTTAAAAATGTAAAAAAATTAATTTTTCGTTGATTCACGGCCACTTTAAAGTAACTCATCTGACTGTTAAGAACTTCTGTCTCCACTATCAAAAAGTCAACAACACTGATAACATTACAGAATAGAGTTCAATTGGTCAGGCAATCATGTATATATATTCAATCATTTCTCTCACTATCTCATGTCAGCTATGTAAATGTAAATGATATTACATGTTTTTACCAGCATATGATCTTCAAACTAACTTGGTATCAAGAGTGTTTGAATTTTATGCAGATTTTATGATAATTTTCTACATATCTTGACCTTTAGATACACCTTAATGTTACATTTTATTTGGAATTTAATGAAGATATTGAAAAAGAATATTTCAACATACTTTTATTCATATTCTCATCAATAAAATTGATAATAAATAAATTTTTTAATAAACTTAGACATGGTCTATAAAAAACCTACTTTTCTCCCACGGAGAGTAATATTTTAAATGGAAAAAAAATGTAACGTTAATGAAATTTTAAAATTATTGGCTAAAAATATTTTTATATGATATGACAAAACATATATAATTATGAGAAATTATTAACACAGTCATGAGAAATGATTTGTTGCTGATATCGAAATTTCTATGATAGAATAATACCGGAAATTTTGTTTAAATATCGCTTTTCTATTTCCATGCTACCCAGATGATTGAAATCCTTCACCATGTGGAATATAATTTGTCTAATCTTGTTGTCGTATTTAATACCATTGAATACTGCAGAGGTATTTTTAATATTTGTTTAAAATTTACTTCATCATGTACCGTCTAAAAATAAACGAGTGATAATCCTCATATTTTTTTTCTAGTCTTCATATGACATTGTATTTTATGATGTTGAGGCTACCGAAATCAACCATGAATATTTTAGTTATTTCGAAAGCTATGTCAATGAAGATAATTCTGGAATATTCACCAATTTCACAATAATCAAACGTCTTCCTGTTACAACGAGGGTAATTAAAGAAGAAATGTTTATTATAAAAATCAATTTAATTACTTACATGAATGTATTTATTCTTCCAGTTATCATACAATTTACTAGCATCAACACTGGGAGAGTTTATCTTAAAAACTGGAGTAACTCTTGATATAAACATATGTGAAATATTCGAGCCACATTATCGTGTAGTTGGAGATCAGATTGAACAAATTGGAATTAATGGTGACAACTGTCCTCCTGGTCCAGTAAGATATATTTTTTTATCTTGATCATTCACATACTTTTCATCCATTTTGAATCACTTTCTTGATGATGTCTATCTCCTAGTCTGATTGATTCATTTCTGCTGCTAGCAGAGCTTTTAATAAGCAGAGTGAATGAATTAGCTTTTTTATTATAAATCATTGAAAATGATAGCAATTTAAAATTTATTATGTATCAATTTTAATTGGAAATATTTTTTATCAGGGAATCTATGGTGCTGAAAATATAGGTTTGGATCCAGAAAATTTACCTGACGTATTCATACCGAACAATTATGTTGCAATTATGAAATTATATAATGGATTAAAAACTATTGGAGTGTTTAAAGCATTTGTTCGTATTGCTGTGTAACAATGAAATGTATTTGAAATATTCAGTATCAATTGTAAAGTGGTACACTCAATAAATAAAAAAAAATTATAGAAAAAAATAAGTACCATTGTATCAAATTTATTCCTCAAAAGTTTTTCACATTGAAAGTAGAGAAAAAAGATTACTATAGAAGCTCAACCCTCGATATTGGTGTTTCCTTTCCGACTGAAAGTGTTCCTAAGTTAGAAATCCTTTGTGTAATAATGATAATATTAATAACATTGTGATTTAAAAGCCCTATAAAGTCCTTCTCAAACTTCTTATTTTTTTTTCTATGAATGAAGTAAAGAATTAAAAATTATCATTATTTGCTTGACCCTAGATTGGTCACCCTATGAGGAAATACCTGTTCAAACAATTTTTCTGTATACAGTTTAATTGCAGTTGATTGCTAAATAACTCAAAAGAATAATGTCAAAAGTTAGACATTGTTCTTTAATGTATTGAAAAATCAGAAAGATTAATAGACATGAAATATTATTATTCCTTGGTTTCATTGAATAAGGGTCTTTCAAAATCCTGATAAAGATTCCTATTAACTACCTGGCAAAATAAGTTGAAAACTTTTCATCATAAGTTTAAATACTGTGTATCAAGTGGACTCGTGATTAAATAATTTGAGATTAATCCCAACATGTATACTTCCTCAGATTTTATGGGAATAATAGCATGTGAACTATTGACATCTGATAGAAGATGATGTAACATTTTTTTTATATTCATTCATTTTTTTATAAAATAAACCAAAACAAGGCCGAATAAATCGTGAGAATAGATCCAATATCTTAATTGAAACTTGTTTTTAGGAAAACTGATTTGCTGAAAAATGATACAATACATTACACACTCATTACACAGTCATGGGAAATGATTTACTGTTGATATCAAAGTTCGTATAATAGAATGATATCAGAAATTTTGTTTAAATGTCGCTTTTTTATTTCCATGATACCCAGATTGAAATCCTTCACCATGTGGAATATAATTTGTATGCTCTTGTTGTCGTATTTAGTATCATCAAATACTGCAGAGGTATTTTCCGATGTTTTTTTAAAATTTACTTCATCATGTACTGTTTAAGAATGAATGCACTAAATATACAAAAGACTTTTATTTTTTTTTTTTTAGTCTGAGTTTGAGCTAACATTCTATGATATTGATATAACTGAAATCAGCTCTGAATACGTCAGTAATGTGGAAGCTTATGTCAATGACGATAATTCTGGATTTTTTCTGAATTTCACATTAATAAAAAGATTTCCTGATACAGCAAGGGTGATAAAAAAGCAATTGTTATTATAAAAACTAATTTAATTACTTTCATAAATGTATTGACTTTTTCAGTTGTTATATAAGTTACTAGGATCATCAATGGGCGAGTATATCATGCCAACTGGGATGAATATTGATACAGGATTATGTGAAGTATTCGAGCCAAATTATCGTCTGATTGGAGATCAGATTGAACAAATTGGAATTAATGGTGACAACTGTCCTCCTAGTCCAGTAAGTTATATTTTTTTATCTTAATCATTCACATACTTTTCATCCATCTTGAATCACTTTCTTGATGATGTCTATCTGCTAGTATGATTGCTTTCTTTCTGCTGCTAGCAAAGCTTCCATGTATGTATGACCAACCATAATTATTTATGATACTGAATTGATGAACTTGATGGTGCATGGTCATCAATCGTTCAACATGATCAAATTTAATGCATAATTATGCATAAAATCTTTTTTATGGAATAGATAGAGTAATGAAAATCTTATTTACAAATAAATCAATAAAAACAATTGATTGTCTGCAATGTTTAATTTATCACTCATCAAATCATGAAGGTTTAAAGTTTAAGATTGATTATGTATTAACTTTAATTGAAAATATTTTTTATCAGGGAACCTATACTGCTGAGAACATAGCTTTGTCTTCAGAAAATTTACCTGACGTATTTCCACCGAACAATTATGTTGCAATTATTAAATTATATAATGGATTCGAAAATTTTGGAGTATTTAAAGCATTTGTTCGTCTTGCTATGTAACAGTTAAATAAATTTGAAATATTTGTTATCAATTGTTTACTTAATAAATGAATAAGAAGAATTATAGAAAAAAATAAATACCATTGTATCAAATCCATTCCTCCGAAAGCTTATTTTCTCACCCTGAAAAAATGATATTCCTAAATTAGAAAAACTTGGTATAAGATCTATAGATTTTTGAATTCTTACTTATTAAATACTTCAATAAGGTGTGAAATGAGTTTAAATTGATCAAAATAGTCAGTATGATAGTTCTATAAATTGTGATCTAATTGTTCTTGATCTAGGAACATTGCCTATCATTGTACAGTTTTGAGGTTAGAGAAATCAATGATAAGGATAGAAGAAGAAAACATAGGGATGATTATAAGGTTATATAATGTTTTGGTAGTTATTAAAATGAGTTAAACGAATAAGCTTTTGTTTATGAATCAAAAAGATTAATAGACATGAATTATTATCATTCCTTGATTTCATTGAATAATTTGAAAACTTCTCATCATAAGTTTAAATACTGTATATCAAGTAGACCCGTGATTAAATAATTTGAGATTAATCCCAACATGTATACTTCCTCAGATTTTATGGGAATAATAGCATGTGAACTATTGACATCTGATAGAAGATGATGTAACATTTTTTTTATATTCATTCATTTTTTTATAAAATAAACCAAAACAAGGCCGAATAAATCGTGAGAATAGATCCAATATCTTAATTGAAACTTGTTTTTAGGAAAGCTGATATAATGCAATGATTGCACAGTCATGGGAAATGATTTGTTGCTGATATCGAAATTTCTATGAAAGAATGATACTGGAAATTTTATTTAAATATCGCTTTTTTATATCCTTGATACCCAGACTGAAATCCTTTACCATGTGGAACATAATTTATGTGATCTTGTTGTCGTATTTAATACAATTAAATATTGTCGAGGTATTTTCAATGTTTGTTTAAATTCATTCCACTACGTAATGCACATAAAGTATTCATACATATATCACTTGTAGTCTAGATTTGATCCAACATTTTATGACACTGAGGCTTCTTATGTCAACTATGAATACTTCAGTGATTTTGAAACCTATGTCAATGAAGATCATGCTGGATTTTTTCTTAACTTTACATTAATAAAACGTTTTCCGAATGAGACAAGGGTAATAATGAAGTAATTTTTACTATGAAATTTAATTTAATTACTTGCATAAATGTATCCATTCTTCCAGTTCTCATACAAATTACTAACATCATCAATGGGAGAGTTTGTCATAAAAACTGGAATAAGTTTTGATGCTGAATTCTGTCAAATATTTGATCCAAATTATCGTCTAATTGGAGACCAGATTGAAATGATAGGAATCACTGATGATGACTGTCCTCCTGGTCCGGTAAATATTAATTTTCTTATTTTTAATCATTTACTTGGAAAATGTATGACCATGTCTAACTATATATCACAATATGTCGTCGTACCTTATCATCCATGATACTATGCTCTTTTTCTGATCATCATCTTCAACGTTCATGATTAAATATGTGCTATATTAATTTGATATATATTTTTTTAGGGAACATATGGTGCTGACAATATATCTTACTCTCCAAAAAATCTACCTGATGCTTTTCCACCGAATAATTATCTTGCATTTATAAAAATTTATTACCAGAAACTTCTTTTCTTGGAGTTTAAAATATTCGCTCGTCTTGCTAATTAAAAATTAAACAGATGTTTAATAAATTTAAATTATTTGTTATTCAATTTTCAAGTAATTCATCTAATAAATTAACGGAATAATAGCAGGCACTTTAAATAAATTGTTTTAAATTCATTTATCCTGAGCTATCATAAATTAAAAATATTATTATTCCTCTAGGTTAGTTGTTCAATATTTTAATGTCAAATATCAAAATATTGGTGGCAAATTTGTGCGTTGTTAAAAAAAATATTTAAAAATTATTTCAAATCATTTGAAGCCTTATATAATGAATATTTCTATAATAAAAAAAAATGAAATAAATAAATAACGATATTTTTTATACATTTCTTATGAAAAATTAATATTTCGATTTTACATTTAAAAAATATTGTTTTTTATCATCAAAAAAATCTTTACTAAGTTATTTTTGTGATGCATTTTTCACTGCTTCAAAGAATTTTTTTACTCCAACCATATTAGCTTCATCATACCCAGGAATTTCACTTTCACAAGCTTTCAGCCAGCGAGCAACATTCGGATACTTGTCGAGAGGAAAGAAAGCCTGGAACAGATTTCAATAAATCCTATTTAATTAAAGGAAATGAATGTCTTGCTAACTGTCAATTATATCAAATAAGATCATATCTGTTGGATACAGAAAATATCTATGTAATTATCATGTTATGGAAGATAAAATAATGTCTACTTTAATCTAAGAATCTTTTGAACTTGAAGAAATTTTAGAAAAATGAATGAATATTAGATAATTACCGGCATACAGCTGACAGAACAGACACAACTTATGTCAGCCAAGGTGTAAGTATTCCCATCAACCAGCCATTTCTTGCCTTCCAAGAACTTATTCAACATCTCAAGACTATCCTTCAGCAATGCTACAGCATCTTCATCAAAAGTTTTTTTTCCTCCGAAAAACATTGGCTTCTAAAAATAGATATCATGATTTCTTATAAATAAAACAAACTATCTGCTAAATAATTTCAATAATTTTATTAATAAATATGACTTAAAGCAAGAAGTTAACTTACTACAGCAGCTCTCAAACGAGCAAAAATAATTTCTCCTTCAAAGTGAAGACGTTGATCAATTAGTGCTCTTTTCTGGAGATCTTTAGGATAGAGTTGATCATCCTTAGCATATTTTCCAACCAGGTAACGTATAATTGCATGACTGTATCACATTAAATGTATTAATTTTTTAAAAATATTCCTCTTATAGATAACTATTTCAATAAAATGGGAAGCTGATAAGAGTTACCTATCCCATAAAATAAAACCATTATCATCTAGAGTGGGTATTGTATGTTGAGGATTTTTCTGTAATACAAATTCATCGTTATCAAATGACATCCATGTATAAAAAAGAATTTTTCTTTTAAATTGATAATAGACTTATTACATAATTTGATGAATAATCAATAAAAAGGAAGCTAAATAGATCGATCTAATTGCTTTCAAAGTATAACTTTTAGCAAGAAGCTATCATCTGCAGTCCAATTAATGAATTAATATTATGAATTGATATAATTTTTATTTATTCATTTTTGAGAAGCATTAAATTTCATCTTAATGTGTTTAAATTAGATCTTGAATGAATGATTGCGTGCATGATGATTTAACATTTTTATAATAAATGTTGATCACTAATATTAGAGATGATTGGTGATGACTAGTATTTCACAGTTTAGCAAAATTAGCAAAGAGTTTAAGATGAGAAATAGTTAACCAAGGACAATAATAAATGAGCTGGGAATTACTCTGGAAAAGAAGAAAAGCTGAATGTAGTATTCTAGGTCATCTTGATATGAAAAAAATGATAATAATTAATTGAATAAATTTATTGCATTTATTTCTATATCTTCCAGTCATTTACCTTAACAAATTCAGCGTCAAGGTGTTCTCGTTGGAGCAAATTAACTTCATGAAGATCAAGATTCAACTTGATCACTTTAGCTGTTAATAAAACAGCACGACAAGGAGGACTTAAATCCATGGTATATAATTTCGGTGGAGCCATTGTGATGAATTATTGAATTATATTACACTTTTAAGGATACTTTTCACTATTAAACAGTCAGCTACGTCGACTCTGGAACGTTTGCGAAGCCTTGAACGACTTTAAAACTTATTTTTCGCAATCACTTATGTTATCACACATTTGACGACTCATCTAAATGATTTTACACGCAAGCGCAGTTAATGATACTGTACATCTCCAAGACATTCATCTTGACCATCGCACTCGGCAATTTATACTAATAGTTGCCAGCACTATGGTTTGCCAACAACCGGTTATTATGAAGCAGACTCGTTGATGTAACGACAGGAAATTGATAATAAGAATACATCAAGTTTTTTTTCCATCCATTGTACATATTTCATTGGGACAATCAATGAACTAGCCTTGTTTATTTAGCCTTGACAATCTACACATTGATTTTATAATTATTTATCTATTTATATACATCAAAATATGTTGAAAATAAAAATACATTACCAATGTAATGGACATCTATCATCATGATATTTTAAATTAGCCAGTTATTGGAGTATGAAAACTCAAATATTGACAATTAGTATATTGAGCTAACAATAATTGTTCATGTTTATTAGTACTTCTAGCAGGAAAGCACAAATTATCAATTCTTGATCCAACACTGTAACAGTCTAAGTCAATCATGTAATGGTCTGATGTTGGACCATAAATATGTAAAAGTTGACTAATATGTTTTTATTCACTCTTTCCTGTAATCAGCTTTCCATTTTTAGTGTGTACTTTGTTTTTAACGGGTTCTTATCTATTTAGTTTTTACCTATTATATTTAAGTACCATGATAACAACTCAAGCTGTTACAGGAAACATTTGATAACTTGCTAATTTTGAAAAATAAGTTTATCATTGTGTCTGTAGATTTGTATAGGCTGTTATATTCACGATTTTTTATTTATTTAGTTCTAGTTGTTATTGTAGTTTTAATCATTAGATTTATTGTGTAGTGCATCATTCAGACATGTGAATTGTTTCATGTAGATGATGATGAATTTCAATATTGTGATAATATTTTTTCTGTATTGTGTTATATTAGTAAATTCCCAAGGGAAACTGACTGATGTTGTTCAGACTAAATATGGGCCTGTACGTGGTGAAATATACGAAACAGTCCAAACAGGAGTAGAATATTCGTCATTTAGGGGTATTCCATATGCAAAGCCGCCTGTTGGAAAGCTACGATTTCAGGTAAGAGCTAAAATAAATTAATTGAACAAAAAAAATTGTTTGATGATAATCAAGTATACTTGTGGCAGGTTTGTCATTGAGTATGTAAACTAATATAAATTACTTCTATTAAGCCTCCTCAAGTTCCCAATGCTTGGACAGAAGTTCTAGATACCATGGATGATCCGAGTCCATGTCCACAACTTGATGGTACTGATGTGATTGGTGATGAAGATTGTCTTTATTTAAATGTTTATTCTCCAGAGGTAAGCAAAGTGAATCCTTAAGAGATCATACATTAAATGAATCATTTTCACAGTTGAAATTGAGTTCTCCGAAAGAACTTAGAGCAGTAATGGTATGGATTTATGGTGGTGCCTTTGTCTCTGGTTCAGTAAACACTTCTTCTTATCGTCCAGATTTTTTGATTGAAAAAGATGTTGTTGTAGTCTCAATGAACTATCGATTAGGAGCCTTAGGATTTCTAACTCTCGGTAATGAGATGATCAGCGGAAATGCAGGGCTAAAAGATCAAACATTAGCACTCAAGTGGGTTAATGAAAATATTAAAGAGTTTGGAGGTGATCCAAACAAAATAACCATTTTTGGAGAAAGTGCTGGATCCATTTCGGTTGAGCTTCATCATCTTTCTTCGCTTTCTTATGGTAAGATGACCGAGTTTATCTGCTTTGAACTATGCATCTTTAAGTTAATAATTTTTTTATTATGTAGGATTGTTCAGAGCTTCAATTGCAATGAGCGGATCTCCTATTAATCCATGGGCGATGCATAGTTTTGCGGAAGCTTCAAACATTTCTATCCAAAGAATTCAAACACACATTCTTAGTACATTTGATGCTAATTCAACTGAAGATGTTTCCAAGTTGTATGAAGTATCTGTTGATGAATTGGTTCTCCTAGATGATTTGAGCACTTTCAGTACTGTAAGTTATCATTTTTAATCAAATCTGATTAGGATGTACTTTTAGATAATTATAAGGACATATATATATTTTTTATAGGAAGATTTTACTTTTGCGTTTGCACCAACTGTTGAAGTAGCAGGTGCACAAAATCAACCTTTCATTACTGATGAACCTTTTTTGATATATCAGTCTGGCAATTTCTATCACGTCCCTCATATACTTGGATACATGAATAATGAAGCTATTTCATGGAGAAAGGGTACGTTGATATTCTTGATGATTAATTAACTTTATATTTTATTCACCTACTATTAATTTGTTTCTTCAACATTTGAATATTATTAATTGTGATCCAGTATTTCTTGAAAAACTATCATGTAGATTTAAATTTTTTCAGTATCGAGTGATCCAAATATTGGAAACAACAGAACTGCCCTTGACAGAATTACATTTGATGAATTTCGAGTAGGAATCAATCTGACACGTCAGTTGATGATAGATAGCAGTTCTGAGCCAGTCTTCTACTACCGAAATGTATTTGAGTATCCAGAAATTTTGCATAAAATTAATGGAATAGCTTTGAATGGCAGCGGGCATGGTGATGATGTTGGTTATGTCTTCTATGTTCAAGGAGCAAATCAGACATTAAATCCCAATGATGAAGTTTCTATTTTTAGGAATAAATTTGTTACTTTATGGACAAATTTTGCTAAATATTTGTAATTATTTAATGGATATCTATAAAGTTTCTATAAATTTGTAATTGAGTTGATTTTTTGTTTGTAGGGATCCTTCAGCAGTTTTTGAAGATGGAACTGAAATACAATGGCCGCCAACAGACAATGCAGGACGACTCTTAAAAATAAACAGCACATTTGAAATTTTAGCCCATGATGACTAGAATATAGTTTCAATAAAAATTATAAAGTGCTGTTAAATTGTGTTGTGTCATTGTTGAGTTTGTCTTGGGACCTTCTATTCCTGGAATATATCTAAAAAAATATCAATTCCAAAGTTATCACTTCATAAAGTTAAATCAGCCAATTTAATTAGGACTGATCAATCATCAGAAATAAGACAGCAAATCTTTTAAAAATTTTCTTGGATAAGATTCAATCTGTTTGGAGTTGGATGGATTAAATTAGATAAAATTAGACCTAATAATTTGTTTCCAGGTGACGAGATATTATTTAACAGTAAATAAATATTTTCCATGAAACAACAATTGACATACATATGAAAAAAATTAATTTTCTGCAAACATGAAAATATGTATGAAAATTTTATCACTTGCAATACCTGGACACCTCAACATTTTAATAATTTACACTTGTATTTGTTATTATAATAATTTAGTAAATTATATAGCTACATCTAGTTGCAAGTAGTTTAAACAACTCAAACAATACGACGAGACATATTGAAAAGTATTTTCTGAAATAAACCTACCAGAGCTATTCAAGTTTTTTCTATTTTAATTGGTTTTGTTGAATTTAAATTTAACGTAGGTTCCACACTTTTGTAAATATAATTATTTTTCATTTTTATTTAATTATAAATATTCAAGTTAATTATGAAAATACTAAAAAGTATTCTTATACTCAGCATTTTTTTCCAACATATTAATTGTCTATTTATCAGATCAAACAAAGTTTATTATACAATAATTAAAAACATCTACGAATTCTACTATTGTAAATCTATCACGATATTATACTCTAATAGTAACATTAAAAAGATAACAGGTGAGTATCTATATTTATAGAAAGTATTGTTTTGATAATACTAAACAAAATTATATTATGTAGAAATGGAATCAAAAACACGTTTAATGAATTTCCAACTAAACTTCAGCAAACTTTTTATTCCAATTATTGTGATAGATATCAAAACGTTTGCATCAAAGGTAAGTTCAATTTGAAAATTAATTTATCTCATAATGATTATGAAGTTACATTTTTATTCATTCTAAATAGATAAATGAAAATATTGATAATATAAATGACTCATTAATTATTTTATTAAATGATTCTGAAGATATCAAATACTATGTCAATAAAGTAAGTATTTTATTCATATTAATAGTAATTCTGGACATAAATTAAAATTTTAATTGTTGATTGCTTCACAGTTGTTCAATCAACCGTTTAATTTTTCTAAAGCTATCTGGCTGATTTTTTCTAATGATGAAGAAGAGCTTGAAGACTACTTCAAAGATACTTATATTCCTTTCAACTCTAAATTTATGGTATCACGGAAGAACAACACAAGTCAATACAGTGAAACTATCCTCGAGATATTTAAAGTCAATAGAAATAGCAAACTATTTCATAATATTTTTGTAACATGGGATCCAAAGAATGATATAGAATTTCCTACAAATAATTTAAATGGCCGGAGGAATCAACTGTACGGTCTGAATCTACGTACAGCAATAATGCATGTATGAATTAAATATACAGTAGCAATCACAAGTATTTTGATGAATATATTAATCTGATGAATTAAAAACAAACCACAAATGCTTATTATTATTTTTAGACTTTACCCAGCATGTCTATTTCATACACCAACAATGGTCAAATACATGTTGGTGGAATTTTCGGTGAAGTCATAGACATATTAAAAGTAGTCATGAACTTTACGTATGTATTTATTAATTAAAAAAGTATTGTGCTACAAATAATTCTCCAACTCTTACGTAGGATGACTTACATTATAACAGAACAGTATGGAAACTTTGAAGAAAATAAATGGACTGGTGCTGTTGGATTATTAGTGAGAAATGAATCAGACTTTTTTCCAGGATATTTGGGGATGACCAGTTCAAGACTTGGTGCTATTGATTACACAAAACCCTTATTTCTGTCTAAGTAAATTTTCCAAGTGTGATAAATATACTTTATTAAACTTATTATTGATTGCTAACTTATAATATTTTGTCTTTTATAATTTCAGCGATCGATTTTTCTACAGTAAACCACCACCATCATTGAAATGGAACCAATTCTTAAAACCATTTAATCACGATATCTGGTTGGCAATTATGTTATCTATTCTTCTGTTTGGTGTTGTTATTACTTATTTAGAATTTATATATCAATATAAAAATAGAACCTCTGTAATCAGAACCATATTTATTAAAATAATGATCAACCTGATGTTCGTCTTTAGTGCATTCTGTGGAAAGAGTATGTTTAAAGAAATATCAATAAAAAAATCAATCAAATAAATTGTTTATTTCTTTTCAGATGGCGTGAGATCTAAAATAGATTCAATAGCCATTGTACAATATGTGATTCATTTAGCAGTAGTTGTTTTATCAGCAGCTTATTCGGGAATTCTCATCAGCTCATTGACAACCAATTCTGATATGCCAGACTTTAAAACAATGAAAAATTTTAATGATAACAGCAAGTACACTATGGGCCTTCGTAGAGGATCTACGTATCTTCATCTGTTCAGGGTATGTTTTGAAAAAAAAATTTCATATAATATTGGTGGGCGATCAGCTAGATACTGCTCTTGTTGCTAATTAATATTCTAAAAAGAATTATTTTGTTGCACCAATTGATTTAAACCCATACATTGAGAACCATCAGCAACACCACAGAGATATTCGTTAATTTCTAATTTTTTCAGATCACGAGTGTATTTAATAATAATTCGAAACTTTTGCTTGTCCATTATTTGTTCATATATACTGGTCCTTACACGGTGTCCATCAACGGTTTCATCAAATACAGTCAATAAATTATCACCTACAGCAACTATAAAAAAGTACGATTATTCGTTCAGTCAAACATTTCGACATCGAGACATTTCTTGTTTTTCAATAAAAATAAAAAATACTCACCTTCTTGCTTATTTTCTCGTGTTGGAGCACTTTTGCATCCATAAATAACTCTAGAATTAATCAAATAAAATTAATTGAATCAAATGATTCAATGAAATTTTTTATAAATATTTCTAAAATCAACTTACCCCATCAAAACGAAGACTAAAATGCTGAACTTCATGGTTAATGATGAATAAGTACTTGAACACTTGATAAAATTACCAAAAAAATAGCTTGTTGTATTATAAAGACGCTTTTGCGTGATTAACTTTGAATGTTCTTGAGGCTTTTGAGCGACAATTTATATCCTAAAACTAAACCACGTGATAGTTCTAATTACACCCCCACCCCCTTTTCTGCCTGAAACTATTATCTACGAAATTTTCATTTACACTAAATAAAAAAATTTAATTCAATACTAACACGGATATAATACTAAGAAATAATTTCACAAAGTTTTTTACTATAATTAATTAGCTGATAAGCCAGAACTTCCTGTAATTTTTTGTTAATTCATATGTATCAATGACGAGTTTGACTGAAGCCAATAACTCGTGTAAATACATATCTATGTATTTTGTCTGTTTACACTACAGTAATTATTCCATTGTTGAAAAAAGAAACCCAGATGTTTCAAGATCGATTTATAGTAGATCATATTATTATTGTTATCAATATTACTAAAGGTTCAGGATAGAATGAGCCATTTAACTTTTTCTTTTGGCACGCCTGCTAGTTTACAAAGTTGGATTCGCTACAATTGTTTCAATCAGAGCTGCAGACTCAATATTATTATTATTAGATCAAATATTGTCAACAAGTGACAGTAAAATTTTTAATCAACATGTATTAATTTGTAGATGACTCATAGATGAAGCATTAAATGTATTAAATTGGTTTTATCATGAATGTAAATATTAGCTAACCCAACACTAGATGTTTCCAACATTAGCTTTCACGATATTATTCTAATCGTGACAGGAAATGAAACTAATTTTAGCATTTATAATTAAAAAAATGTGTGCTGATATGAAATAACCACAAATTTAGAAGAATTGATTGTTATGATATTTTTATTCAACTTTTAATCATTAATTTTTATCATTTTTAACTCACACGCACATAACAATTTATTTCGAGCAACAATTTTTCTGCAGTATAAAGGGAAGTCTTCATCAAATAATTATTAGGAGGGAAATTATCTGGCAATGTATTCAGATCAAATGTATAATCTTCCGAAACATAATTTCCCTAAAACAAGGTATGAATTATTTTTAATGTCTTCAAGTACATAAATAATAACATCTTTAAACTTTGTAACTTACTGGTTTAGGTGGACATTCTTCTGAAGTGATATTAAACTGATGTAAGGCAGCTGAAAGAAAGATTGGTTCTCTATAAAACTCACAAAAAGGCAATGTTACGTCAATACCAGTTGGTACTATATATTCTCCCATAGTTGCAGCAAATATTTTTCCACGAATCTAAAATGAATATTCCTGTTTTAATATTCTTATGAAAACGAAAATTAAATGGCGAATTTATTTTTAAAAAAATATTTCGAATAGTTAAGAATAACTCCAATAGAAATTTATAATAACATTTTTATTGTTTTCTTACTTCAGCATTTAATGGAAAATAATCAGTTATCGTGATATTAATGAAGATGTGATTTTCCCACACATTAGTTTCTAGGTCTTTGAAATAAGCTGGATCATAATAATCGACTGCATAATCAATGAACATGAGATCAAGTTCTGCCTATCAATAAAATAAACATCATGATCTTCGACCAAAAGAATATTTAATTTCTTAGACATTAATTGAGACATAATTGGACAAGACTAAATATCGATAATTTATTCACAATTACTATTGAATTAAATGAAATACCTTTGATCCGAGAAAATGGGAATAAAATAATAAAGCCGAAATGAAAAAAAGCATTTTTGTTTAATTAATAAAAAACTCTGTATCTAAGTTGAGCAGAAAATGGAGTCAAAGTTGCAGGAAAGCACTTTTAAAGTTGATCTTGACAATTGTGATTATTTTGACATCTATTTTGGTCAACTTACAATAACATCAAACAGGAAATCATAAATACCAAAAATTTCCGGTCATGAAATATCATTAATTATTTCTAAATGAACAATACAAGTGATACAAAATTATCTTTAGATCAATAATATAATAATTTGTCAACACGATAGGTATTTTATCACGAAAACAACATTGATACATTATCATTTTAATAGTTACGAGTTCTAGCTGATATATAAAAACTTATATAATTTTTTTTATAATAAAAAGAAGATAAGATTTTGTAACAATGATATGTTTTAAACAACTGCTATCAGTTGGTAATCAGAAAAGCTGAAAACATGCACAACTCTGGATTTTTTTAGATAGATTATTTTTAAACATATAAAGTTCCAATTCGGTAGCAATCATTTACATCTTCTAAATAGGCTGCTCATAAGGGCAATCTAGATGACATGGGCCCATTTATGAGCAGTTCATGAACACAAGTACTGCATCTCCATAAACTTATTATTAAAAAAATTTTATTACAGAATTCTACCGATGAAATAATGAGAAAAATGGTTGAAAAAACAATTACAAATAATGGACTCACTTCATCCAATGCAGAAGGATTTGAAAAAGCATGCTCTGATCACACTTATGCATTTTACACCACGGATATTGCTAAAAATTATTACAATCCGAACGATTGTGTATTACTTGCTTCAGAATCTATCATGAGATTATCGATTTCTTTTGGTTTACAATACAATAGTCCATTTAAAGATCTCATGAATCACTAGTAAGTATAATTATTTTATTTAATTGTATTCATTTTAATAATACCAAAATTATTTTTTTTTTATTCTTATTACAGCATTATGTGGTTAAGAACCTCTGGTATAATGAATAGAATTTTAAATAACTGGGCAGAATATAAATATCAGCAAGTAAAGTTTTTTTATTTATTTATAGCAATATTAAATATTTAAAACTTTAAAAGTGTATGATAAAATATTGTTTTTTTCTTTTAGAGTGAAAGCAATTTGAAGCCTGTTGGATTAATAGACGTTGCAGCTATCGCTATTTATTTTATCATTGCTGCTATTGGTAGTATTATTATTTTATGGGGAGAAAAAATATTCTACAAGAAGCGCAGACAACGAAAATTTGCAACTGTGTTCAATCGTTTAATAACAAATAATAAATATCCAATGGACAACAACTGTATCGTCCCCATAAAATAAAATTAAAAATACTACATCAATTTTTTAAGATGCACACAATTAATGGAAATTTTTTATATAATGGCTTTTGCTTTGGCTTATTTATCATATGAAGTTTAAAAGCAAAGAAATGAATGCTTCATTTAAAATGAACACAACATAGAGATATTGATTATTATATAGTGCTATTTATTTTAATATACAGTGTTTCCATATTCAATCGAATTCTTCATCAATATCTTTAAATAACAAAATGTTATTTAAATGACCTTTGAAGCAATTAATTTTTATTATAATCTTTTTTGATGAAATCAGCAGCTCTTTCACCAATCATAGTAATAGTTGCATGTGGGTTACCAGATATCATCTATAAAAAATAATTCAAATTAAATATTTATCAATAAAGAGTGATGTTAATGTTTAAATAATAATGAGCACTATGAACCTGAGGTATGATAGAAGCATCCGCAACACGAAGCCCTTCAACTCCATGAACTTTAAGTTGAGGATCAACAACAGCCAATGGATCTGTTTTGGGTCCCATTTTACATGAGCCTCCTTGATGATTTTCTGTTCGTGTATCTACATGAACTGCACACCTGAAATAATTGTCCGAAAGAAATTCATGTTCAGAGCATTCTTCAAGTGGCTCAGTTATAAGCTTCAATCCTTTTGATTTCATTGCTGTAGAATTGGCGATTGTTAATAAAACATGAATGCCGTCTATCAAGACATCAACATCTCTAGGATCTGCAAGATCATTGCTCCAAATTAGTGGATGGTCAGTTGGATTAGCACTTGCCAAAAACAGAGCTCCTGAAACATTTATTTTTAATCAATACAAAGTTGATTCAATGATAATACACTGCATAGCAAATTTTTATTCACTTGCTGGTGAAAAAAGAAATTGATGTTGATTCTGATGCAAAATACGTTGCTTTTAAAACGTACCTCGACTTTTTGTTTGTAAGTTTACAGCTGAAAATCGAACAGTTCTTTTATCTTCATAGCTCTTGAGATCAAAATTACTTCGACAAGAAGCTTGGAATCCAGAGAAGAATATTTGGATATCAGGATGATCAAGAGTGGTGTATTGTGAAGCTAATATAGCTGTGACTTGAGCTAAACCAGTAGACGACAATGGTCCAGTTTGATTGAATGAATATTGAGTTACCTCATTGAAATTGAAATCATCTGAAAAAGTTTCATCAAGTGCGAAGTCTAGTTTATAAGAAACATGATTATGCAAATTTTTTCCAACACCAGGCAAATCAAGAACTACGGGGATGTTTAGAGATTCCAGATCATCTTTTGGACCAATTCCAGATAGAAGTAATAACTGAGGTGAGTTCACTGCTCCTCCTGAGACTACCACTTCTTTTTTTACTGATACCGTATGAGTTTTGCCATTCTTTAAACATTTCAATTCATATTATTTTTTATCAATTATATTTCAAACATTTTTATTTCTACAACAAATTATACTTACACTAGTGTACTCAACCCCAACGACTTTCTGATCACGAGTCAATATTTTTGTTACCAGAGCATCAAGAGCAACGTCTAGATTTTTCTGATCACGTAAGGGACGCAAAAATGCAGCAGCAGAACTCTGTCGAACACCATCTTTACTCATTGCTTGGGCGATTGTAAAACCAAGAATTTTATCTCCAACCATGTCTTCAGTTACTCCATAGCCAGTTTCTCTAGCTGCATCCAAAATGGTATGAGCAAATGGTGGCTGCCATGGGAATCTAAACATTGTTTCGAGGTGTAATCAAATATTTATATACATTTCTATTTGATTTACACTACCATCAGAAAGTTTGGAATCATCTTTTTAAATCTAAATATTTATAAAATAATAAGGAAAGTAATTATGATTTACCTTTCTACAATTACTGGACCACCAGTGGCATGATGTTTTCTTCCTACTCGATCAATTTCTCTGTTGTCTTCTGATTTCAAGAAGAAAGGTATTACCTATAAAGATATAATTTTTTTAAATTCAATTAAATGTAAATAATAAGCTAGAATTAAGAAACATTTGATGCTATTCTACCTCTTCCCACGACCATCCATCATTGCCCATGGCTACCCAATTTTCATAGTCCTTAGCATGGCCTCGATGATAAGCCATTCCATGATGAACAGTTGTACCACCAAGATTACGTCCACGTGGCCATAAACAAACTCCGTTATTATTCAAACATGCATGAGATTCATTAAATGTTTTAAATCTCCAATCTATGCTACTTCCTATAATTTAATAATAACACAAAATTTAATTGTAATCTTAATTTAGATTTAAATGTTAATGTTTAATAGAAAAATATCAATGTTACCTAGATAAATTCCAAGATTGGCGGGAATTTCAGTACCAATCGGCTCATCAGGTCCAGCTTCTATCAGCAAAACATTCCACTCAGGTACTTCACTGAGTCTTGCTGCAACTGCACTTCCTGCTGCACCACCTAATCAAGAAGAAAATTATCTTTTTAAATATCCATCACCTTGTTGAAGAACATTTTAACATTATCATTACCTCCAATAACAACAAAATCATATTCATCACGAGGACTTTCAATAGGAATGACTCTATCACACTTCTCAGATATCTTTGGGTTTTGGGTTATTAAATCATTTAGCATAAATAATAGAAGTGAAAATGAAGCTGTTGTTGAAGGTGTTGTTGGACATACATTGAAAATACTAGGCCCACCGATCACTGGACTGGTACAAGAACCAGCAACGTTGCTCTGTATTAAAAATAAGCAAAATATTCGTTATTAACAAATAAAACTAGAATTAAATTTTATTTTTAGTAAAAATGAAATGGTTTTTATTAAACAGTTGATTTAAAAGCAAGAAGAATACCAACCATTTTTAATTAACTGATTTACTTAGCACTTTTTGAGAATTCAAGTCACTTTCGAATGATAGAAAATTCATTTATTTCTAGTATTTATAGCAAAAGAGCTTCATTCATGAATATATTTATCATTTATTATTATATGATGTTTACAAAATTATCATAAAAACCATATATCTTATTTATCGTTATCATATAGTAAATTAAAATTTACAAATTAACAAGTCAGAATAATACGTTGGATAATTAATAATAAATTCAATCTGATTAGAAGATCGTTAAACGTCATCAATACTATGTAATTTTAAAGTGTTATCACCTTAGTAATTGATCAATGTATACATACATCATTTGCATATTTTTTTTTAAAAAAACAACAAATTCAAAAAAGAAATGTAACAATAGAACATGAAATAATAGAAATAAAAATCTATTCTAGACACCAGGAGCAATGTTGCGCTTTTTGGCAATCGATGTAAAAATGCACTTTATTATTACAATGTTATGTAACATAAACATTTTATGGTCATTAAAATAATTAAGTGTAAATTGAAAAAAAAATTTAAATCTTTGATGATAAAAAGAAACAAACAAAAAATAGGTCTGGGCAAAGATTACAATATTTTATTGACATTTATTGAATATAATCACAGTAATAATAATTCAATAAATAAAATCCATTTTAAATTGTTTATAACAAATTGAAATTTTTATAAACTATAAATAATGATGAAATTACAAATTTTAAAAATCGACTCCATTACAATAATTTCCCAATGGAAAGATAAAAAAATATTCAAACAATAGCATTAAATATGAAAGGATTTGACTGCTCTGAGTTAATTAAATTAATTTTATTTAGTTTATTAAACAATTGTTAATTAATTAATTGTAACTGTCGAGACATAAATGCTAACTCCTTTTTAAAATTATCAAACTCATCCAAATTCGATGTAAATTGTCTCTCAAATCGTTCTCGCAAAATAATGACTTGATTTTTCCTAAGTGTAATTTCATAGACAGAATTTGGATTAAGTAAAAATGTTGAAAGTAATTTAGTATTAAATATTGGCATTGGTGATTGATCCAAATAAGCTAATTCGTTACGAATTCGAACATCAAGTGTTGGAATTTTAAATTTATATTCGCGATTATTGCAGACAACAATGAATCCATCAGTATTAGATAATGGTGGTGCTAGCAAACAACTACCATTGTTGTCAGTAATAACAAACTGTACTCCAATAGTGAATTCATTATCGGTACCATTCTGATTGAGATTGACATTGAGTGGATCAAAAAGCAGGGTTCGATGAGGATAGTCATCAGCTAATAGAGGAGTATTCACACCTTGACGTGGAAATTGAGCGAATAAAGCTAAAACATCATTTGGTTCTGGCATATATAGCTGTTTGTTAACTACAGCTCCAATGACATCAGTAAAAATGATCCATCGTTTGCTAGCAATCACTTCATATTGAAAAATAATGTGAGGAAAATCATTTAGAAGTGGTGACTCTATTTTACCTGTGTTGTGCATATCATCCCAATAAAAAATAGAATTAGGCTGGACATTATTGTTAATCATACGACCTTTGTATCCATCAAATTTATACTTTAACTTATAGTTGGACATGTTACAAGAGTATTCATAGAATGATGAAAACTTGCGACAAGGTATATGTAATAGTTGAGTAAGCTGGATATAATTGTACATTGAATTAGAATCAATTAAATGATAAAATTCAGATAAATAAGTAGTAGATAATAAATCCCAAAAAAAATTTTCTCTGTCTGTTAATTGTTTATAATTCATCAAGGAATAATCTGTTCCATATTCAATTTCAGCAGTAAAGTAAAAAGATCCACCATGATGACCTTCTGATTTTTTTTCTAAACTTATTCGTATGTTATCCTGTTGATAAATAATAAATCGTACTGTAATATCTCGTATGGTGTTGAATTTTCGTGTCAGTTCAGCGATATTCTCTGTTGCAGTGGTGCGTGAATATGGTATGAACATTATTTTATTTTTCTTTTTAGCATGATCATTGACATCATCATTATTTTTGTTTATTAAAATCTTCAATAGATTTATTCTGTGTGAACATTGTTTATATTGAAACACATTATCAGTGATACGATATCCCTGATTGGAGTTTGCATTCTCATGATTCATCAATGTAGGATCATTAAAATATGTAATTAATATTTTTTTACCATTTTCATTGTAAAATTTTTTGTACAGTAAAGAGAAAATTTTTTCTGTTATTAGTAGACGAACACTTGTTTCATATTCAGTGTGATTCATCATTATTTTCAGAGCAAATTTTAATAAACAAAAATGTTTTCTATTGTCAACTCTTCATGAAAAAAAATCTAACTTATTAATAAATTTGTTTCTCGTTGAATTAAGTAGCACTTCAAACTATTACTTCACTTGATTTACTGATAATTTTATAACAAAAATTGTCTTGCTGAAATCATTATTATAATTGTCGTCATTACCCATTGTCGTGATCACCTAATAATAGTAGAATAATGTCTATCAATAAGCTCTATTTATTTTATCACCTATAATTTGATTTGTTAGTTTAAAATGTTTATTCAACAAAAACCTAATTGTAATTCAATTTGTCATAATTATTTTTATAGCATGCATTTTGAATTGTTGATTCAGTAAGAAATGAGCTATTTTATTCAAATTTAATTAATGAATCAAAGTATATTACTTTTATAGAAGTTTTTATTAATTTTTATAAATTTAATGCATGACTGTGCTTGAATTATTTTGCGGCAGTCGGGGCGGATTGGCTCGATGATTTAGAATCCCGCATCGAAGCACTACGTTTCCGCTTGATTTCTTCAGCACGTCTTGCTTTAGCTTCCTTTTGTCTTTGAGCTAAAAGTTTAGCATACTCTGCTGATTGTTCTTTGCGAGCTAAACAACGCCTCTTCTTCAAAGCGATTCTATGTCTTTTGCGCTGAAAGAAATAAAAAAATTTATTAAACTATTGCAGAACGTTTTTACAATGTTGAATTTGAATATTAAAAAATTTTTTTTTTATTAAATTAGATAAAATTGGAATAATATTAATTATTTTATTAATTAGTATTATTAATGAGAATTAAAAATAAATATTTAAATGAACGATTATTACCTGAAGAGTAATTGGAGTAATGAGACGTTGAATTTTAGGAGCCTTAAATCTTTCTTTCTTTCCTTCTTTTTGAACTGGACGTTTAATTACAAATTCACGTAAATTATCTTCTTTTGTAAGATTGAACAATTTACGAATATGTCCAGCTCTTTTAGGTCCCAAGCGACGTGGTAACATTTTGTCTGTGAGTCCAGGAATTTCCTAAATAAAAGAAAGCAACATTTTTAATTTTATAAAATTTTAAAACCAAGCTGTTCATCTCAAGAATGAATATTAAAGTAATTGTTATAAAATGTCAATACTAAACTTCTAAGTGTTATATGACATGACTATTGTTTTAATTGTGATCTTTCTTTGATAACAAAAAATAAAAACTATTTTTCAAGCAGCTCAATTAACGAAACATTAACAGAGAAATTTTAAAAATTATTGTAATCTATCTATACCTGTTGACCCTTCTTCACAATAACAAGTGCCAATACTGAAAGATTAGCATCAACAATGCATCCACGAACTGACTTTCGTTTACGTTCACCATCTCGACGAGGTCTGTAGCAAGAATGTCCTTTCGATAGTAATAAACGTACACGTCCTGTGGTATAAAATAAATAAATAATATAGTAACATTTAAATATTGTTTTATAAAGTAAATATAAATTTTTTTACAAACCATTCGTGAGAACTCCCTGTTTCATAGGAAATCCTTGCTTATCGTTACCACCTGAGATACGTACAACGTATCCTGCCCATTCATCACCTAGAGAATCGGCCTCTATTTCAGCTCCCATACGTTTTTCATAGAAAACTCGGAGTTTGTGTTCATCAGTTATTTCAAACAGTTTCTGCGACCCTGCGGCCGGATATGAAACGTTGAGCTAAAAAAAAAATTCATACAATTACTATTATGTCAGTATTATGAATAAAAACAAAAGCACTATGACACAATAAAATAAATAAAATTTCATTGTCAAACAATTTTATGATTGGAGTAAGAAATTTTGAGGTTATGAAGACACAAGTGGTTTAATTTTTAAAACAAATTGTTCTGATGAAAAAATATATGTTTATAAAGTACACTAAAATTATATTAATTTGTAAAATATTAAGGTTTATGATTAAAAAATTGGGATTAAAACAATATTAAACGATTTATACCTTCATCGTGAAAGTATCAAAGCGGTACCACACGAACCATAAACAGAAAAGAGCGATAAAACCCGAAAAAAATCGTTGTGTAGAGTTGATGCGAACTGTCGATAAAATTTACTGAGAATGAGCGCCATTTTGTTCTGATTGACTTGTTGTTCATAATACCAAAAGGTGTCTCTGCGCAAATCTTCTTCTAATAGGTGGCGCTAGTTGTGTTGCGAAATAATTTAAATAAATAAATATGTTAATAAAACATAAAATTTAAATAAATAATAAGAAAAATCAGTAATAAATGCTATACAAAATTAAATAAATAAGGTAAAAAAATTTAATTAAATACAATTGTAAAAAATAACCTTTAAAATTCTCAAAGTCTTTAGTTAACTTTGAAATAAAGAATACCCGCACCTTCTAGTATTTTCTCTCTTTTTTTACTCGTTTCTTTATCATGCACATTTTCGTCGAATATCAGGTTATGTTGCATCAAAACAAGAAAAGAGTCACAAATAATATTCAATCAAGAAATTGATGTCTTCACTTAACATATTGTTGTAAATAATAATTTATGCATAAACATGTTGAGTTACTCTCTTCGAATTGCAACAAATAAAGGTAAATCATCTTTAATTTTTCGCAATCAATGAACACCAACTATGATAGAATAACTTTCTGTCAGCAGTATCATCAGTTTTCACCGGTTCTAAATTTTTACGTACTTCAACTCCAATTTATCGTCGTGATTATTCAACAGTTGAATATTCAACAGCAGCTGCTGCTAAACCAGCTCCACAAAAAGAAGCAAATGGTAAATTAAAGACTGACATCATTAATAAATTAAGAGGTTAAAATAATATTCATTTTTTTTGTTTATTTTAGCAGAAAAAATTACAACAATCGATCCACTAGATCATCCAGATTTTTTTGGAGTTCACAAATTATTTACCGTTAAAGATTTATTTGATGCTCGAGTACATTATGGACACAAAATCGGTACTTTAGATGACCGTATGAGGCCTTTTATTTTCGGATCACGATTGGGACATTTAATATTTGATCTTGATCAAACAGCAGACTTCTTGCGAGCAGCTTTGAACTTCACTGCTCATATTGCTTTTAGAGATGGAATTATTTTATTCGTATCAAGAAATCCTTTAGCTACTCATCTCGTTGAAAAAACAGCCAAAGAATGTCAGGAATTCGCACACACTAGATTCTGGAAACCTGGAACATTTACAGATGCCACAAAAGAATTTAAAGCAGTAACAAGATTACCAGATCTTTGTATTTTTATTACAACGCTAAATGACGTTCTTACTCAACAACATGGCATCACAGAGTGTGCGAAAATGTTAATACCTTCAGTAGCAATTGTTGATACAAATTGTAATCCTAATTTAGTTACATATCCTGTACCAGGAAATGATGATTCTCTAGCCTCAATTGAACTTTATTGTTCATTGTTTAAAGAAGCTATTTTACGGGGTAAAAAAGCTCGCAATAAAATAATGGATGCTTCGTAAATCTGATATTTGTTATTATTTTTATAAAAAAAATGTTGTTACGCCTTAGAAACATTAGCCATTTCTACAATTGATTATTCTTTAATAATAATAAATTATTAAGTTATAGAAAACAAATTTATAGATGCTTCATATTTTTTGATGTTGACTTGCTCTTCTCAGTAGAGGAAATCAGAAACTATTATTTATTATATTATCGACAATTTGATTTTCATACATATCTCGAGATACTTTTAATATTAAATAACAATAAATAATATTTTATTTTTTAAAATATACAACAAATATTGCAAACGATTTTTATTTTTAAAATTCATTATTCAAAATACACAGTAAATTTTCGAAAAATATTAAGTAAAACTTTTTTATATTTAAAAAACACTATTATTAGGTTAACATACTACTTTTCTTATACTTCAATCACACTTAATCAAGTAATCACAATTTTTTTTCTCCACTTTTAAGGACAAAAACAACATCACAATAATTTTATTCATTTATTTTCAGTCTTAACAGTTTCCCTGTTATCTCGAAGTCGTTGGAAGAATGTTTGGCCCAAATACATGACAATACTAGAACAAAAATTGATTAACAATTGATAAGAAGATATTTCAAACAATCTTTCATCCTAATAATATTCAATCGATTTGTAATAAAGTGACAAACTCACATATGAGCCAAGTTGGGGTAGTATCGAGCCAAGTATGTCAACTGTAAAGACACAGAATGAGCAATCCAACATTCTTTTACGCGATTAGCCATTGCTACAGCCATCAAATAAGCACAACGTTCTGCCTGTAATTTATTCTTTGCCTGCATTTCAGCTGGTTCTCCAAATTTCTTTCCTACTTCTTCAGTGAAGCTTTCTGTTAGAATTGGAGTTGCAACAGCTCCAGGGCAAATTAGCGTAAGATCAACTTCAGCAACGCCCAATTTTTCCAAACGCAAACTCTCAAAGTATCCCTTCAAATATCATATAATTTATTAGTCTATCTGGAGAAGCATATGATATGTTGACAAATGATGAAAAGATGAACTAACATGTAAAGCGTGTTTCGATCCAGTGTAAGATCCAGAAAAAGGAACTCCAAATAATCCTGCAAGACTAGAGTTAACAACTATATACCCTTTTTTATTGTTATTAGCCACGAAATGACGATAAACCAATCGAGATAAAGCTATCAGAGAGAAGACATTGACTTCAAATAATTCTTTATCAACTTTGACATCAATTTTCTCCCAATTAGCTCTTTGTGAACGACCAGCATTGTTTACCAAAATATCTAGCTGGAAAATTTATACAAAGTTTAGTCATGTATTTTACATGGAGACCATAAAAATAAATGAGAATAGAAAGTAGATGTTTTATTCATTAGCTACCTTTCCAAACTTTTCAATAACAGAGTTCAAAGCTTTTTCATGACTTTGTAGATTACATAGATCCAGTGGTAGAACGTGAATATCAGCATCCTTCAAGTTGGAATTAAATTTCAAGCAATTCTCTTTCACTCGTTTCAATTCTTCCTCTCGTCGCGCTGATAATACTAATTTGCAATCAATTTTCGCCAACTCATAGGCTAAACTCTCTCCAATGCCACTAGAGGCTCCGGTTATCCAGATTATTTGACCCTTCAACACTTCTACAAATAATAAACGAAAAGGTTTTAATGATGGTTCTTCAATGTCCTTTTGGAGTAAATTAATTATTTGGGTATGGAAACATAAAGATGATTGATGGTAGGAAATATTTTATGATAAGAATAATATTCAAATGGAGTAATTGGATTATCAGAAAAAAAATGTATAATTAATCATGATAGGTATCAATTGGTTATAAATAAATCTGGTACGGCATTTTTAAGGTATTTCAGTTGAGGTTAATTTTTTCTCAAAATTTTTTTTACTCCATTAAAATTAACGATTATTAGAAAATAAAATGTTCGTTTTAATAACAAAAAATCGATTAATGCAAATGCATTTGTAATGAATCAAAAAAAATCAAGTTTTATTTTACTGTTGCTAAAAAAATGAATTATTAATAATAATCTTAACCTGAACATTAACCTTTTTTTTTTAATCTTTGTATGTTTTTCGAAGTAATAGAAGGCAAATAAATCAATATACAGAAAGCTAGTGTGTATATTTAAAAACAAATATTAATTGTACTTTAAAGAGCCTTGGGTCTTTTTTTTACAACTCGTAGCGATCAAAATACCTAAAAAAAATGTACTTAAACATTTAAATAAAATTGTCTGAGACTCTTTTTTTCTTTATATTCAGCATTCTTGTCTTTGAAAAGTTCCAATTAACGACATTTATACCTCATTATTTTTGTTTATTCGAATTTACCGGCTCCAATAAACCGTTAAAAATAACCAAAAAAATTACACTTCACAGCTATTTACAAACAAAGTATCTATTTATAATCTAAAATTTATTTACCAAAATATGCAATTAAATTTTATTTACAATAATATGACCCAATTTTCTTTATCAAAAATAACGGTAATATAATCCATGTATACTTAACCTATTGGTTGACCAAACTTGGACTTGAAATATAATTGAATATCACAATCAATAAACCATGGAAGAACGAAGTAAACAATGTAATAAATAACCGTAATAAATCCAATAATCTCCAACCAAGACATGATCAATTATCATCAACAATCACAAATATCTTTCAAAATAATATCAGGCGTAGAAGCTAAGAACGCAGTTTCCAACGTATTGAAGAGACTTTGCTTCTTATTATCGCAAGTGTTATTGTGTGTATGCTGTAGATGTTTCTGTTAGGTATATGAGTATGTATTGTAAGAATAATACATATATATTTACATACACATATGCATATGGATCTGGAGGAAAGATGAAATAGCAAATGAGGTCTCGAATAAATCTGCATCTCAAAATAACATTGAGTAATCTCGTAAAGGCTATTGGCATTACATATTGCTCTTTTATATGGGCAATATATTTAATATATTCATCACATGACTCATTCACAATTTATTAGCTGCTATTTGTCTGTTGGAATAGTAAATCTTTAAAAACTCATAATTAATTTTTCTTTTTGTTTGTAGATTGATGACACAGGTTATCAGGATTACTTTTATTTCATCAAGATTAGATACTAAAATACATCTGGTGATTTTTACGACATCTTGGAGCTGGAATAAGCTTTCATTCAAGTTATTATGTCAAGAATATTTTTAAACCTTTATCAACAAATGTCTAATCCATCAGCTCATCTACACCTGTCATACTTTATTAAATTAAATATGAATACCTACCACCTCATGATTTAATATCACTGATCAATATCGATTTGGAGGAAGTATACCAGTAGTGCTCTATTTATTTAGATATTCATTAAGCTAGCTCTTTCAAAATGAAAATACAATCAACTACGTATTTTCGAGTAATTAAGTACCAAATCCATTTCATCATAGCACCAATGTTCCCTGGAATTGGGGCAGTAGATTAATCAACAATTAAATGCTCGTTAATCATCAAAGAAAAGTTTTTCTGTGATGTAACTCGTCAACTACGTTTATGAGTACAATGTCAGGTGATATAACATGCATTTATCCTACTTGTTGCTGAACAGTAAAGGGTAGTTGGCATGCGCTTGAAATGAATATCGACCAAGTAGACGATACTAAAGGGGCTGCGTATGCTCCCTTCAGTATCATACCGCATTTTGTATGCGATCTGAATGGAGACTCAATTTATTGTCAAGTTTGGACTGTTTTTAAAATATAGTATCCATCATTTTTAGAGTAGATAACATCAAGGACATCATTGCAAAGTGAAATAAACATCTGTAACACAATTAGTGATTTTTCATCAAGTTTTGGATAAAAGCCGGTAAGTTTTATTTTTAATCAATTCTCCAATGATAATTTTTATTTAGAAAAAAAGATTAATAGGAAATTAAACTATCAATGATTGTGATGATTAGCATGATTATTATTTGATTGAATGATTTCAGATGAACACCATGTCTTTTTTATTTCATTCATCAAAGTTCTTCTTTTTTTTGATGTTGATGATACCAATACTGCTAATGACATCAACCGCAATCGCTACCGGTCTTAATCAAGAATCAACTTCCCTTCGAAATGCTTTGAATATGCTCACCACCAAACAAAGATCCGCTCTGATGCAATTACCTAGCCTACGTAATTACTATAACATGCATAAACGAACACCTAATTATAATACTGAACATGATTTGAATCATCATGATAATTTTGATATTGCAATACCAATTCATGCAGGTAAGAGAATACTAATCTGTTACTGTGATATTTTAATTGACTTAATTATAATAATATTCAACCTATCTCTAATAATTATTAAACCATAAATGGTAAAAGTAATTCTCGGTAAATACTCTATATTGATAAAACAATTTTATAGTAATATATCTATCATTGACAGATTTTATCGCAAATAATTTTCAGTGCTTCGTAGAAGAGCTTTTTTTTATTGTTTATTTTTATTATTTACTTTTTTTAAATGGAAGTTTATTTTTTAGAGGAACAGTATTTTTACCAATCAATTTTTATTGAATAAAATATTTGTCCTTGAAAACTTTGATTAAAATGTGTACATGTAGAAAATTTTATAGTAATTTTTACCAACCAGAACATTACTTTTTAGCTATTTTTATTAAAAAAAAAACCCTAGTAATTTTTAATTGTTTTTGCTAGTAAATTTTACTGTAAATTGACTAATAAAAATTACTATAAAATTTTTTCCGTATCGTTATAAATATATTCTAGATTTATTATTTATTTTTCAAGTCTTTACCTAATCCAACAGTTCTAATATTAATTATTAATTACATAAAAATGTTTTAAACAACTCATACTAGAAAACTTTCTGTAAGCAGTTAATTCTCATTGTACTTCATTAATATAACATTGATTGTAACTTATTATTATAATAAATAAATATTTTTTATTGTAGTTTGCACTTGATAATTAATATTAAGACTGTTGGATTAGTAAAGGCTTGAAAAATAAACAACAAATTGAAAAATGCTATTGAAACAATTTATAAATAAAAAAAAGGTCATTAATTGTTTGTGAAATTTACTGAATTATATTTTTTCTACGTATTTAGTAAAAGCTTCTGAAAGTGAATTATTAAATCATCAGAGGGTCGGGTTTCCATAATGTATAGAATAATCTATAATAAAGACCATGAAAACAAACTGAATTCATTATAAAGAGCTTTTGGGTCTTGTAAACAAAACGATGATTTTGTTTGTTGATGATACTCATCAATCAATGATTCGTAAATCTGATAGCTTAACATTTTTAAAACATAATATATTCTATCAATATTATTAATATAATCCATTAAAATTAATATTTAATATTATTTCGAGTTAAAACGTACTAATGGATTGAAAAGAGTTGAAAAGATTTGAAAAAAGTTGGAGATAAAATAAATCATTCTTTTAATAGTTTTCCTTCAATTGACCAAAGAAGTTTCTTAGTAGTATTACGTGATTTTATTCTGACACTCCACAATTCAAATGTGCATTAGAAGAGTTACGTTTCCACACATTTCAAGCGATGATGCATTATCTTCCAAGTTTTATCATATTTTACCACCATTTAAAAATAACTCGATGATTTTATTCCTTAAATCAATATTTAAACTCTCAGCTCACTTATCTCTTAAACGCTTAGATATCAGAGCTTCAATTTAAGTTTAAAGTTTTTAAAAAAATTATCATAATATTGTGATTCTTCAGAAGTTATTGAGAATATTTTTATTTTTCTAGTTTTTTTTTTATCAATTATTCAAATTCTCTCTTTTATATTATTATCAATAAGTCTTTGGAAGCGCCCTATATTATTTTATTTTCCTCAGAAGTATCTTGAGAATTTAATATTTATTCAAGGGTAGTAGTTGAGAAATAAATTCTCAGCCAGCTATTAGGAGAAAAATCAATGATAAGAGCAATAAAGACGTCTTAGAAAAACGTGTTTACGTCACTCTTTATATTTTTTCAATAATTAAAACTTTGTTTTCTGTATTCAAGTTCTTTAGTAGAAACTTCTTCCCTGCTTATATTAAAATAAATATGATGTTTAGGGAGTATCTTATTTCCAATATTATATTAAAGTCAATTTATGATCAAACTACTCTATCAAAGTAAAATAATTCTGAGTTGATGGAAAAAATTATCAGTAAATCTACTTTCATTAAAGCTTTAGTTTGTTGTCGACCTCATTTTTCTAAAATTCATGATTTTATTAATAATAAAATACTTACTTATTTAATTTTTAATTATTTACTTATCAAATTTTTGATCACTCATTGTGCTTGCAGATTTATTTATTTTCTAGGCCATCTTAGTTTTTCTTTTCTGCTTTATTATGCCTTTAACGTTGTGTGATCATGCTAAATAAATAAAAAAAAAAATTAATTAATTAATTTTATTTACAGAATATGATGACTACGAAGAAAATATAAATAACGGTGGAAAATACTATAATGAAAAATTACCATATGCTCCTGATGAAATTAATTTGGAGCACATCATCAATGATAATTACATTAACCTGAATGAGGAACCAATCCAGGCTGATTTTGGTATTTTAAATAAAAAGAAAAAAGACGTCAACTGGTCGCAATACTTTGGTATTGACAAGAGAAAGAAAAAGACTGAGTTCTATGGAAAGCCTGATACTCAAAATGAAGATGATGATTGGTTTATCAAGCATTATTATGAAACCCTGGTGCAAAATCTGCAGAAGAAAAATCGTGAAATGAACATGTCAGTTCGAAATTTACAAAATAAAAATAAAGAGAAAGAAATGAAACGTACCAATAATATGAGTGAGATGCACTATGAACCATCAGTACAATATCGTGAGAATTTCAAGAATCTCTTAATAGATGATCAGCAGTTTCTGAAGAATGCTGGATTAGAGAATATTGAGAGCGAGGAAGAGCTGCAAAAAATAAAGGATATTATATTGAATGGAATTGCTGCGTCTTATTCTTTACAAAAAATGCAAGAAGCATTTAAAGAGCTTAAAAATGATATTAGAATCCAAAAATTACCGTCCTCTATGGCAATATCAACGAAAGAGCGATAAATTGCATGCATATCATTAACCCATATATGCCTGAATAATTTATTATAACGATTTTTGTGAATTTATGTCAACGAGAATTAAATTATGGGGGTGAAGCAAGTAAAAAATCTATATTTAAGAAATATTTTATTGTAAAATGAATGTTCAAATGGGATATTAAAGAATATATTGGATTATTTAAGAATCTTAATTACATTTAAATAATTTATGAGATAAATTAAGTGAAAAAGTATTCAATAAATAAAAAAGTAGAAACTGTAAAAATATTAATATATTCTTACAAGACTTATAATTTTAATAATAAGATTTGAAATGCATAGATGGGTTACAAATTGACGCTTTACTTGTATTTTAAAAGATTTTCAAAGCACTAAACAAGATGTATATTATGTGTGAATAATGTTCTGTTAAAAAACAATGTTTAAGAATTATAATAAAAATTGACTAATTATTTCGACCCATAATAAAAATATTCTATTTATTTTCAATGCCAAGTATAAGTGACAAAATATTTTGAATAATTATCTTATGATAGTTCTCTAGCACTCAGTAGTTTCATGCATTCTATAAATATCTTTCCACTGTAAAAAAAATCATTGGAAAAAATATTGGAAATAATACTTATTAAGAACTTTTTATTTGGTTGAATTATTCAATGTCTCCAGTCTTGATAAGTTCATTCGCTGTATTATTTTGATTTTTTGTCCAAATTCGTTTACTCTGGCGACCTCTGTTGTTTGATTGCCGATAAAGAAGTTTTATTAAGATAACTGTATAAAATGAATATAAAAACCGTGTACTAATTCAAACAATCCATACTGTTTTCGAAGAGGAAAGGATTGCATATCCCTAACAATATTCAATAGGAAATCAATAGTTTATAAAATTTTATAAAATTTGTGAAACATGAGGTTAACAAGTGTAAAAACAGATTAATACGAGTAAATTTGTGCGTGTAAAAATCACGGTAGTCGTTACAGTAATGGAGCTATCTATAACAAACCCGATGAATAGAGCCCCCTAAGATAGAGTGGCAAGACATCGCTGTATTTCTCGAATTTCGCCTAAGATCTTATGGGACTCTATCTTAGAGGACTCTACCAATGAGAAAGAGCAAACACTGTTACACTATATAATCATGAAAAAACCGATGACCTTACTCTCTTAAACTTAATCAGTGAAAACTACTGCGAATCAGTGAATATTCACTGATACACAGTAGTTTTCACTGATTCAATTTGAGAGAGTAAGGTTATCAATATAATATAAATTTCTAGATCAAGGAATAGAGGAGACATTGATGTCAGATAGAGAGGAAAAAAAATTGAAGCAAATAATAAACATTTGGGAAGATTTAATCAAGAAAAATCAATTCTTTTTTGTTGATAAATTATTAATAATTATTATTTATAAATTTAATATTATTATTGTACAATCCAAATATAAAAAAACTTATGTAGGCTCTAACTTTTTTATACAATTATATTAACTTATTCGAATGTTTGATATTTTGCTCTAAATCGTCAAGAAGATTTAGGAAAATCGAACGATTTTCCTTATATACTGAATCATAAGTAAAGACTGGATTTACTTCGTAAGCTAAAAACTTGCATCGAAAATCATCGATATCACTCAAGGGTTTAACCCAAAAATCTATAAATTTTTGAATTTGTTCCATATTTTCTCTTAAGGCAATTACAGAACTATTAAATGGTGAAGTCTTTGTATCCCTCAGAAAATAGTGGCATGAGGTAATTCCGTCTTCTGAAGCGATGAATAATTGAACAAAACGTTGTATTAAATCGTTTTCAGAAAAAGCCCATCTAAGAAAATTCTCAGCATCAGTTACATATCCAGTTATTATATCATGTCTGCATACATTTCTTCCTATCATACGGCCTATTGTCTCTTTTATTGCTTGAATCTCCGTAAGAGACAACGAACACCAGAATAAAAAGTCATGTGTTATGTCAATGAGGCTATGTTCAATAAAATAGCGAATAATTGACTTTTCAAGTTCATCACTAATTATTTTTTCTTTTTTAAAACTTGCTATTTCACTTTCCGATTCCAGCAACCAATATAAGAATTCATCAGACTTCTTTACTGACTTATCTATACTTCTTCGGCTTTCTTTCCATATTTCATAAACCCGTACAATTGAAAATGTATTATTTGCAAAATCAACCTTGCACTTTTTTCTTTCTTCTTCAGTTTCAAATTGCCAATTTATAAACTTTTCTGCTAAATCATATTGTTCTCGTTTGATAAAAAATTTGCACAGTTCAATATGATCTATACTACTTTTTAGAAAATTTTTTTCGTCATCTGAACTACATTGCCAATTTAAAAGCTTATCAGCTAAATGAAATTGATTCGCTTTTATGAAATCACTCCAGACGTTTATCTTCTGTTTTAAATTTTTTTTCTCTTCATTTGACATAAATGTCTCTTCCATTAACTGATCTAATAATTCATATTGATCATTCTTTATTAACTGAATGTATCCGTCTTTACCAGCTGTTATAAACTGATGTCTGGCTGATACAATATATGGATCATTAAATATCAATTTAATGCTATCAATATCCCATACATCTATCAAATAACGTATAAAGTAGAATCTTGATCGTTGTTGGCTTAGCTTCTGTTTCGCAGATCCTGGCAAATCATTCCAAATCGCACGTAATATCCCGGGGCATTTGCTATTTTCTATAGAATAACCCTGTTGGTGATCATCCATCATTTTCCAAGTGATTTCATCCAAAAACATATTAATTGTTCTGCTATTATGTTCCAAATATTCGAGCATGTCATTAAACACTGGTACAATAAGATTTTGCCATGGCCAAACATATAATAGCATTTTTAATATTTCACTCTTCACATCCCTTGTGTCATGGAGGAGCGATTCAGACATCGAAGTTTCATTGAAAAATAATCTTCTTTGATCGACAGTCATTTGGTTGATTAAAAACATACATATTTCCATAAAATTTTCTCTCTTATAAGACCCAACACCTCCTTCTACGTACTCATAATCATTATAACGCTTAATGCTTAGACGAGCACAGTGTAATACACTCTTGTTTGCCTCTTCATTGGATAATTCTCCCCAAAAGAATTTGGCTGCAATACTGTATCCTTGATGCACTGATAACCGAAGCATATTCTCTTGAGGAGAACAATTCAGATCGTAGCGAAGAGAGCGCACATTTAGGTTTATACGATCAAATGTAGATGTTTCAAAGCAGTCTATCAATTCAGGCAGATTATTATCTCTGGATATCAACCAATATTTTATGATATGTCGGTCAGAACACACTACACAGTGATTATAACAATTGTCTTGAACATGCTTTGGCATTTTTTGCCACAAATCGTTGATATGTTCTTTTAATGCATATTTGCATGCAAGATTATATACTTTCGATACGTCAAGATCCGGATTATTTAACCAAAATGACTTAAGTACTTTGATTTCATCCACAGTACCGTAGGGTGTCCAGTAAATTTTTTCAACATATTTTACTGCCGTTTGTTTTCCGCCATTTTGGGATTCGTTTTCTTGCTCAACGTACATATACCAATTGTATATTTTCACCCCTATTTCTTCTATGAAGTGACTTAATTCATATTTTAATCTATAAGGCAATATGTAATTGTTGTATTGTTTCATCACTGTTTTCGTTAATTGATACCAATCACTTTTGGTGTCATTTGCCTTTAACTTTTCACAGCAACTAAAAAATTCGTTCACTTTGTCTTTAACTTCTTTTTTCTCCCAAAACAATATTGCAACAATAAGTGCAGCTTTTTGTTGTAAATTAAATTTTACTTTATACTGCATTTTGATACTTTTAATGCGAAAAAAATAATTACACAATGATTAATTGCACAAAGTTAACTGAAACGTTAAATACTCGAACTGTATACAGTAACAATCGCGTCTAATTTTTGACTGTAGAAATTCAATATATTTTCATCCCCTTGTTGATCGCCACCACGCTCATTCATCCCCTCTATCACGACTTTCGCTGATGCGCATGTACAGTAAAAAAAATCAAGGGATGGGAACAATTTGAGTAGGAGAAAATGCGTGCGCAAGCGCAGAACATAAATTGTGTAGGGGAGAGGGGCAGTGCAAGCATTTTCTATAGTCACAGAAGGAAAAGGAACTTATCCCATGGAAAGTGGTGAATAAATGTACTATGATTGAAATATGATGGTACTGTATGTATAGTCGAGCTGGCGAAAGAATCGTCTTGAAACCACTCTTAGGCTGGCGGTAAAGAGAGTTTTCTAGTAGGCTATCTATGAGAATGAGTGTAGGGGTCGCCAGCCTAAGAGTGGTCTCAAGACGATGCTCTTGTCAGTTCGACTATAGGAGTATATTTTCCACACATATGTAAATAAAACGAAGACGTTGGATTATTTGTTTATTTTATTTTATTATGAAAGATGATACATGAAATTAAATAATAAATATGATAAAATTAAATAATAAATAGATATAAAAAAATATTATTCATAATACATGAGATTAAAATAATTATTCTCTATCGAGACTTCAATGCCTCGAGAAATGAATCAAGGTCGGGATTTTCTAGATATCTGAATATTTCATGCATGCAAAGCATTGGCAATTGTCCAAAAACATGTGATTGTAATAATTTTTGTATCTGTTCACATAAATTACTCCGTCGAAGAATTATACGTAAATGCCGTTTGAAAAAATCATCATAAGTAGGAAAGTAGCACATCAACTCACGTGATTTTATGGCTTTTACTACATTTTCATTGCGAACAAAATGAATAGCATCCTGTGAATGTTTTTTCAGAAAATCGTAGAAACTTATACTACTTTGATCAATCTTGATACTCTTCATCATATCAACTTCCATGGTACAAGTATCTTCGAAAAATTTGATCCATGACTGATTTTCTATACTATCCGCATTATAAACTTTATCCAAAATTCGTTTATGAACCCACCATTTTAAAACTTTCATTTTAATAATATGTTCTTGAAATATTGACTTTGATAGAAAGCCAGCATGATTCCATCTCTTTAAAAAATAATCAAACGATGACTTGTTTTCGTTATCCAAAATGTTTATATCAGCACCGAACATTAAAAGGGCTTTATTCATAAGTAAGTTGCTACTTTCTGCAACATAATGAAGAGGTGTTTTGCCAAATTTGTCAATACAGTTAACCGATATATTTGTGTCATAAAGCAAAGTCAACAGAAATTCTTCGTCATCATTATTAGTTCGAGATCTTTTTTTCATCCTTGACATAAACGCATAGTGAAATATAGTTCTATTATTTATATCCTT